TGTTTATAAATATATTAATCGTATATTGTTTTTGTGTGTTTGCCTTGGTGTGTTTTTGTCAGTTTTATCAGTAATTTAATATAATCGACAAATCCTTTGAAATACATTAAAATAGGATATATATTAGTCGAAAGTACAACATATTTCGACACGCCTCAATATCGGAGCTAACACCATCAACGTTATGATCATGAGGATTCACGTGAATTTAATTCACCTCCTTGTCCCCTTAAGAATCGTGATAACCCCAGGAGTGCCTTCCATCCACAGGCCCTGAAGAAGAAGAATGAAGAAAAGCGAACTCAGCGCAGTCTCCAATTTCGTGAAAAGAAGAACGCTGAACTTATGTCTGATCTCACGAAGGAATTGGAGAGCAGGCTCTTCATCTAAGCTCCTCCTGTGTTGGCGGCCGCTGTAAAGCAGACCCCAACTGAATATGCCGTGCCCATCACCACCAGAGGCATTGGTTTCGACGCAGTCTCTTTGAGAAAAAGCAAAAATATTTTATCAGAAGTTTGATACGTTTATTCTAATCGGTAAACAAAGATCTCTTCTGCATCAACGTATGTAAATTTTGAAATATGTTTCAATAGAATTTGAATTATATTGATAAAAGAAAGTTTTAAATAGAAGGATTGAAAAAAAAACAATTTTGAATTATAAACTACCTTTAAACTATATTGTTTAATTTTTAAAAGTTGAAAAACAAGGCTAAAATGGATTGCAATTTTTCGCCAACGACAAAAATTAAACCTTTAACAGGAACAAATTATCCGATTTGGGCTTTAAAAGTCGGAGCACTTTTATGTGGAAAGAAATTATTTAAATGCGTAATTTCGGATCCCGAGCCCATATCAATGTTGATAATTGTAGTTCTGTTAAGGCGATAAAATATATTTGCAAATATGTTAATAAGGGCAGTGATCAAGCTATTATTAATTTACGCAGAGAGGGTAGAGGTCCTGACCCTCAAAATGAGGTGCGAATGTATTAGTGTGCCAGATACATAAGAAGCAATGAAGCTGTTTGCAGTCTTTTCAGCTTCCCTTTACACCAGCGCCATCCAGCTGTTATCCATTTAGCTGTGCATCTTGAGAATGGTGAACGGATATATTTCAATCAAAATGCTAATCAAATGCGTAATCCACTACTACTCTTATTAATTGTTCTGAAATTTTAATCGTTTTTCCCCCTATACATGCTTTTTACATACACCAATTTTTGTCCTAATCTGACAACTCCTTCTTGGTGCTCCAACATGGACAAAGGTGGCCAGAAACAAGCCAGAGTCCAAGATAGACTCAGACACCCCTTCCTGTGGTCAAGCCACCTGACCTGTGGTGGATGACCTGACCCTACCAAGCAGGTCTGAACTTTCTGGTGGTCGAACCACATGTCCCATTGTGGCTGACTTGAACCCAAGCCAGAGTCCAAGATGGACTCACGACACCCCTTCCCTGTAGTCAAGCCAGACTCCAGCATGCCTATGGGCAAGCCACAAGCCCATGGTGGGTGTTAAAATCACCATCTTCAGGCAGAACACCAACTCCACCACGAGCTCCAAGGGGGTTTGCCCTCCAGTCTCAACAGATTTGGTTGAGATATGGAGTTGAAGGAGAGCCTGGGAAGGTTTAAAAAAAAAAATCTCCACCAGAGATGCGGAGCCAATTCTTCTCCTGCAGGCAGAAGGTTGGAGAGAAGGTCCGAGACTTTGCCGCAAGCCAACCCTAACCAGAGTCCATCATCATCAAGTCCATCAAGCCATCTGACCTGTGGTGGATGACCTGACCCCACCAACACCAAGCTGGTCTGAGATAGACACCCCTTCCTGGTGGTCGAGCCACATGTCCCATTGTGGCTGACAAGATTCTCCGTGCGGAAACTGCGAGGTATAGTGGAAGTGGGACTACCATACAGTGTGCCCATACCGCAGCCCCCCAACCCGGGTTCATCCTCCAGGAGCTCACCAGCTCCATTCTCCACCCATCCTCCAAGTTTTTATACACCACCACCAGCTCAGCAAGGACAACCATGCCATGCTTTAAAGAGCTCCAACACACACCAGGCTGCTACACCAAGTGATGCTGGACCTTCAAATTCTTGAAGAGAATATTGTTCAGCGAAGTTGTAAGACAACTGACTTTTTGTACATATATATCTCTATTTTTCCATGATAAGGTTGCCCTGTCTCGTTTAGTGGGAAACAGTACTAAAGAAGATTGACTTGTTAAATTCCCAGTGACTACAGTAAAGTATTTACTGACCAGTCTAGACAGGAATTTAAGACCGTCGAGACAAGCTTATTTCTTAAAAGGGGGAAGACCAGGGGGGAGATAGAATAAGAGGAAATTTCCTTCCTTTCAAGATAAGAGGGTAGGTCGTTAGCTTTGATAAGAAGTGGCAGGGGAGGAGCAGATTCCCAGAAAGGACTCCCGAGATATCAAAGTGGACTAGCGTAATATCGGGATTCGTTCCCGATGACGGGTTTCGAGGAAACTCCAGAGGGATGAAAAAGAGTTGAATGGTGTTGAAAGAAAGGATGGTAGAAAGGTGTTGAAGGATGTCAAAAGCGACGTAAGAATCATAGATAAATGATGGATATGAAAGGGATAATTGATGGATTCCCAGCTATGTCAGGGCTAGGCCCATGGAATTTAATCCCAGAAAAGAATGTTGCTTTGCTTTTAAAGAAATTGGGTTTAAGACTGTTAGAAGTTTCTGGTGGCAGATACAGAAACAATATACTCGAGCAATCCTTATGGATAGGAGGTGGCGACGCCCCAATCACCATTGAGGTAAATTCTGTCAGGTCCCACCTTATTAATGGATCATACCGCCCCCTGGTATAGAAGCCATGTTGCTTTGTTTTGAAAGAAATGGGGTTTAAGACTGTTGAAGTTTCTGGTGGCAGATACAGAAACAATATACTCGAGCAACCCTTATGGATAGGAGGTGGCGACGCCCCAATCACCATTGAGGTAAATTCTGTCAGATCCCTCTATATTAATCTACGAGCATTCGAGGATGCAAAGGTCTTCAATACGTTGGATCTGTCAGATAGTTCCAATTCTATCATAATTCCAACCCACCTGGGGGGTAAACATACCGCTCCCTGGTATGGAAGCCATGTTGCTTTGTTTTTTAAAGAAATGGGGTTTAAGACTATTAAGGTTTCTGGTGGAAATACAGAAACAACTTCATGTTGTAATCCACTGCTGTGGTTACCTACCAACTTCATGTTGTAATCCATTGTTGTGATTACTTAACAACCTCATGCTGTAATCCATTGTTGTGATTACTTAGCAACTTCATGCTGTAATCCATTGCTGTGATTACTTAGCACCCCTGTTACCAAAAGCAGATAGTAGTTCGTATCACTATGAACCTACGCCATTGTTGTGATTACTTAGCAACTTCATGATGTAATCCATTGTTGTGATTACTTAGCAATTTCACGTGTAATCCATTGTTGTGATTACTTAGCAACTTCATGCTGTAATCCATTGTTGATTACTTAGCAACTTCAATAAATTTAACCAGGAAAGGAAATTGAATCTAAGAGAATTCAATTTGAGAATTTTAGAAAAGTTAGTTGAAGCGGCAGGTGTTGAAATGTCAGATGAGCAGCAAGGTACTTCTGGCTCTCTCTCCCCAAGATAGGCTTTTGGAGAAGCATTTTATAACCAGAATCAAAGTGGAAGGTAAAGAAGGCACATATATTCAGAGAAAATGCAAAGTCTCTTCTGAAGAAGAAAAAACAGAAAATATATAAAGAAATTATACTGTGTATATGTGTCAGACATGTTTGGTCTCCCACTCTGTCTAGTTGACTGCGTGCACATGTCTCAAGATTTACCACACCAAAGAAAATTGTTGAGTTTAATTTCAAGATTGTTTGATTTCTTTATTTTACTTTTCCCTTCCAATTTTGTATTTTCTTTATCTGGATACACTACAGAGGGTGTTTCATTTTTAAAATAACAATTTTTGCCAAGCTGTATCTTGCGAAAGAAACACGCGATTCACAAGATGTTATATTTATTCGAAAGAACAAGCATTGATTTATAGTTCATCAAAAAACTATTTTTAATTATTCAAAGTGCCTAAAATTATAAGTGATTTTGTAAAAGGTTACGTTTTCAGACTTCCCGAAGAGAAATACTAAAATTGTTTGGGTCTCCAAAAACAACCTCTCCGATGCAGAACACTCTGAATAAAGCCATGAAAAATCTGCAAAAGGTAACTCAGAAACTGAAATTATCCATTAACATCAGCAAATCTGAAATTGGCCTCTTCACCATCAACAACCACCTTCGCCATTGGACTCCAAATATTTCCTTAAATAACTCAAAACTCCAATATTCAGATTCCCCAAGATATCTTGGCGTCACACTTGACACTGCTCTCACTTTAAAAAAAACCTATTGACACCATGATAAACAAAGCTAAAAATAGACTCAGAATCCTGAAAAAAATACCAGGCTTAAACTGGGGTGCCAATGCCACAACATACCATGCATTTGTAAGACATATTTTGGAATATGCTGCCCCAGCCTGGATTAATGCAAGTAAAACCAATCTATCCAGAATAGACAGGATCCAAGCAAGCATGTTGGAGAGAGAGAGGATACGGAAGACAAATTTAACATAATTGTTGTAAATAGCTGGTGGCCTAAATAAATTTAAATGGAATGTAATGGATGTCTGCTGTAGCAATGTTAATGAAAGAAGAGAAGCTTGCCTGTATGTGAGAGTGTTGTGGCAGGGGAGGCATGAGTCCCGGAGGACCAATTCTGACAGCCAACAACTGACTGCTGTAGCATGCAATCTGGACTACAAGCCAACCCTACTCCAGGTCCCCATGGACATCTTCAAGGAGATGGCATGCTACAGGAGCTCACCACTGACCAGGAAGTGTGTGTGAGGGACTACATCAAGCCTGGTGTGGGAGCTGGAAAGTGTGGCTGGAAGAATTGTTTTAAAGAAAGGCCTATAGACCTCCCTGTCCTTCCTATGGTCTACACACCTCATGTGACCTGCTACACCCCGATGCCAAAAGCCCCTCAGTGATGGAGACATACCTGTGAGGCTCGACAGACAGCCTGGAGATGACCAGACAATAGAAAGGCCTGAACCCCTCCACCATAACCACCACAAACAGCCTCAACCTTCAACTAAGATGAAGGCCCAGAACACATCACCCGATAAAGACATCAGGCATGAAATTGCCTTTTGCTCTTTCTGTTTTTTTTTTAAATTATATTTATTTTTTATAGCAGGGTGTATATATCGTGAACACTCTGAGAACGAAAGAGTCATCATGGATTTCAGGACGAAGGCGTCAGAAATCAGCTCTTCATATCTGATAATTTAAAACTCCAGTCATTCTACCATGTCCCTGCATATGTCCCACCACTTATAACTACTGTATAACATGATGTACTGTAAAGAGCCAAATAAAGTGCGGACTGTATGTCAGACAGACAGAGAAAAACAAGGAGATAATACGATTATAGATATTCATAAACAATTGCAGTTAGGCCTAGAGTTAAGAGGAAAGATTCCCATCTCACATCATTAGGGCTAGGTCAACGACACTTTTATTCCAGAGAACTCCAAGACAAAGGACCCCGGAGTTGAATTCGCTGAAAACAACTTTATTTAGGTCAATGCTCCATCTTCACATTTTCTGCTATAACTATCAAAGATGGCTTCCCAGTCTTTTGGACCAATCAAGGCGATTCTTCATCTTCCATGATGTAATGAATGACCAATCAAAATCTCAATAGAGGTCACGTGACACCACCGACTGGGGAAGCCTCAGTAGTGTCTCCGAGTCTCATCCGTACTAGATGTGTCTTCTGATCCAGCGTAAATTGCGGGGCGTAAGCTCACTCCCCTCTTATGTTCTCTGTCCGTCAGCATCGGTTCCCTTGACCAACCTATCCTGTGTCCTCACTCCTGCCATCACGACTGCAAAATTCACCAATCCAATCCCAACTTCCAGTTGACAGCACCTTCGCTGTCACAACTACCACAGAGTAAACAGAGAGTGAGCAAGATTCAACATATATATATTATTAAAAAATGCCTATTTTGGATCAAAAAGTTTTATTTCCGATATTTCGCGTGGCAACTCGCCAAACTTCTTCGGGGAACAAGATTGTTTTGATAAGCTCGCGTATCAATTCACGAGTATGTACAACAAAATATATATTAATTTTATTATTTTTATTAACAGAGTGGTTATTTTTATGATTATATTTTGCTACTCTGTAAATTCCCCTCGTGGCATATCTTTTGTTTACCATTCATAGTTTGTCCTTCCCTTAAATAAATTGTTGTCTACTCCTGAAGTTTTTGTCTTCCCTAATTTTCCACGTGGCAATATGTATTTTAATATTATTCCCCTTTTATTTTTCGCATCAATTTTGTTAATAAACTTATATTAGACGTAAAATACTAGCCTATTCAATGCACAACCTTGACACCAAATGGGTACAAAATGTAATAGGTATTGTGACAACTAGCTTCAAAGGTTGGCTTTCTGCAGTCTAAGAAAAGGGATAGCCAGGCCATAAAAAAACATTAAAAATCTCGTCTCTACAAGCACAGCTCAAATCATCAGCAGGCTTCGAGTATCTTGTCCAAATCCAATTGGTCAACTTGAATCCAACCTTCTTCCCTTGCACCTAAGGAGAAAAATATCTTCTTCTCAAAATTCATATCTAAAAAGATTAACTCTCCAAAAGAACACCCTAAAGGAAATTTTATTAGAAATTGGGTCCCAAAACAAACACTAAACCGCTCCACCCCTCTCAACATTGCTCACAACTTTAGATATCCCAATTAATCATTTACAAACGATATTTGGTGTCTTATAAATTACTATAATGGGTATATAAGTAGTTTGATATAAAATAAGTCAATATAGTAATTATGTTTGTTGATCTATGAATTTAGTGACATAAAATTTTACAATGGGATAATTTAAAAAAGTATGTTTGCAATTTTTCAAAGATAATAAAAGAATATTATATATATGACATAATAAAAATATGAATTTTATTATTCATAAAATAATTAAAATTCTATAATCACAGAGTTAAATTTTAAAATGAAAAGGAATCCTTAACAAAAGGAATACAACCTAATTTTACTTTTATTGTAAATAGATAATAACATTGTTAGTTGTATGTATGCAAAAAACTGTTTGCTTTAAAAAATAATCAAAATAAATATTTTTTGGGACAAAAGTTATTCATTTTTACCATCCACGACTGCATGAATTGGTAACGTAACTAGAATACGTCTTTTTTTATGACATATATATATATATATATATATATATCTTATCTACCTTCTTTACAAAACTTCTCTCTTTCTTATTATTAGTTTGACTAAAAGTGCATGGTTCTGTCTTTCTCTCTTTTCACTAACTATTCTCACTTCTATTATTCTATATATAGGTTAGAGTATGTCTAAATGACGTGTAAAAGCCGATGCAAAAGATGTTACGTTGTTAAATTTTATTGTTATTAATTATAAATATATAATTAACTGAATGATGTGTTAGAAGTAAAGGATTTTTTTTCTCTCTCTCTCTCTCTACTAAATAATAACAATTTACAAATTTTATAATTTGAACTTAAATAATCAAAATAATAAAGATAATTTTAATACAAAACTAAACCATAAAACTAAACAACTATTTATTGTTATATATATATATATATATGTTGAGGATGCGGAAGACAAATATAATGTAATTGGTTTTATATAGCTAGCTGGTGGTCTAAATAAATGTAAATGGAATGAAAGGATGTCTGCTGTAGGGGGGAACAATGTTAATGATTGAAGAGGAGCTCACCTGTATGTGAGAATGCTGTGGCAGGGGAGGCATGAGTCCCGGAGGACCAATTCTGACAGCCAACTGACTGCTGTAGAATGCATCCTTAAACATGCCAAATTCGGCATCGCCAAGGAGCCCAGGATCTGCTGGACAAAGGCCTGGAAGCCCCAGCATCCCACCTCCAACCGGTAGCGAGAATTCAGCGAAAAACAAACTTTATAGAGAAATCTATAAAGAAAACTCTAATACTCAAGAGTATGTATATCTGCCGGCTGACGGCGGAAATGTAAATCTGGCCGCCGCGCGCGTCGACATCACGTCCGGCTTAGCGGCAACTTCGTCATCCAATAGCGCTGCCCTTGCTATTAGAAACTGGGCAGATTGTGACGAAGACATGAACCCCGGGACAGACAATGACTTTACTGTCGTGAAGACCAAGAAGAGGCGCCGCAAATCATCGAATTCGCCTACAGCCGCTGCACCATCCTCCAACATCGGAGGTGCCAGGAGCAGTCGCCGAACGCAATCATCAGCGCGTTCGGTGCCGCGGGCACAGGAGATCCCGACAACCAGGGCCCACATCGCGGAGGCCCGGGCGCGACAAACGTCCTCTGCTGAGGAGCACTGCGTCTACCTGGAACACGGCCCCGAACTGCAGCCCTTCCATTACCTGGGGGCGCTGGACAGGCTACTTGGAGGAACCGCCGGAGTCGTCAAGTCTCCAAGGTAAACGGCCACCAACTCCTGGGGCTGGCCAACAGAGGCCTCGCCGAGCGCCTCATAAACAACGGCCTTGAGGTTGAGGGCACTCTCCTCAGGGCTTTCCCTTTCCGCAAAAGAGCGGAGAGGATAACGGTGGGCAACCTCCCCTTCTTCGTGGAGGACGCAGCCATCATCAACGCCCTTAGGCCCTATGGGCGCACTACATCCATCACGCCCAAAATGATGAAGGCCGGCCCATACACCTACACCGACAGCCGCCATGAGGCGTTCATCGTCTTCCACGAAGGAGTGACCACCGAGAGGCTCCCCACCCGCCTCGACATCACCATCAAAGGCGAGGCTTGGCCCGCTTATCTGTCCACCGGCATCAAGTGTTCCAGATGCCACGGCCAGGGGCACCGCAGGGCCAACTGCCCCCTGCTGGCAGGGCGGGTTAACACCACCAGTTCGGCACCACCAGCCTCCCCTGCCGGCGTCCCACCATCGACCGCCCCTGCACCGCCTCAGAGGCCAACGTCTCAGCATCCAGCACCGGCGCCTCCCTTGGAGATCTCCGGCGCTTCGCCCGCGGCCCGAGCTGCGATCCAACCAGCAGGCGCACCCCGGCCATCACCAACAGCGCCCCCGGCCTCACCTGCGGAGGAGACGCCACCTGCCCCTCCACCTGTGACACCTGCTCCGCCCTTGCGGGCACCTAGGGGTTCCGTAAGCCCTCAATCAGCAAAGTCTCGGCCCTCTGCACAGGACATCGAGATGACTGCCATCGAGGAGTCCTCCGCTTCCTCAACATCATCAAGCAGGAAATCCTCCACACTATCAACACGGAACGCAACAAGAAACGACCTCGATGCGTTCATCGAGATTTTATTTTGTGTGCCATTTTTTTGGTATACTTTTTAATTTAAAAATGGAAATAAATTCTTTGGGTAGAGAAATGTTTCCTATGCTGGAAACACTTATGGGAAATATTTCCACATTCTTAAATGCCAAAAATCCGAAAATGGATGCTCAAAAAAAGATTTTAAATTTAATTCAAACAGATATGAATGAATTTATAAAAGTTTTACCAGAAAATGTAGAAAATATGGCTTTTAATACTAAATTGGATGATTTATTAAAGAATCAAGAAAATATTATTGAAAATATTCAAAAAAACTTTGAAGAAAAAATTGATGATTTAAAAAAATCTACTCAAGACTTAATTAGTGAAAATAATGCTCTTATCGATGAAAAATTGAAAATATTAATGGAAAAAAGTGAGAAAAGTTACAGTGCAGTTTTGGCCTCTAACCTACCAACTGCACCAACCTCCATAGCCCAGCCAAAAAGTTCCCCTAATCTAATTGGAAAAATAGTAATTGAATCAAAACTCCCAGAAAATACCAACATCGTGCAATTCCTTAAAGAAAATATTTCTTTGTCTAATCTAAAAATAATTAGAGCAAATGCTATTCCAAACAAAAAGGGATGCACCATAGAAGTTCCCACAATGGAAAATGTAAACACAATAGTTTTTTTTTTTTGCTTATCCCTAGTACACGTGGTACAGGCCATGATTATCATGGTGGGTAGTTAGCGACTGCTTTTACTGTAAGCGCACCACATGTCTACACATGTGAAAAGCAGTTCGACTTTGCACTTACAAATGCCAGAGCCCCGTTTGGTTACTTGCACTCGCTGGTGGGGTTGGACTTTTGCAAGAATCGGGGGCCATTGGAGCATTTTTTTTAATTTTTTTTTTAACAGAAAAAAAGTGCCCAATGCGGGAATCAAACCCGGGTCCTAGTGGTCGAAAACCAAACAGTTTACCCAGCCTTCCACCGACCCCCAAACACAATAGTAAAATTCATAAATGAAAATGAACATCTTAGGTCTAAGCTAACTCCAAAAGTCCCCAAAGGTAGGTCTCCTACTATTAAAATATTAAATGTTGAAGAAGATTTTGGCAAAGAACAGATAATAGATTATTTCAAAGAAAGTTTAAATGTAACTAATTCTGATTTAAAACCCTTTAGTGTATATAAAAATAAATTTAACAAATATGATTGGCTTATAAATATTGATTCAAACACATTTTCACAATAGAAAAATAGATCAACAATTGAAAATAATTTACACAGATTTAGATATGGATGGAGAGTTATCAAATGGACGGAAATTTTTCTTGTTAATAGATGCACTAAATGTCTTGATTTTCATAAATCTAAAAACTGTAAAGAATCAGAAAACACTTGTGCGAAATGTGGTAGCAAGGGCCACATTTCTAAATCATGTACAAAAACAGAAAATTGTATAAACTGTAAAAAAGCTAATAGTAAAAACCCTACACTTAAATTGAACACACAACATAATGCTTTCAGTATAGACTGCCCTTGCTATATACATAGAATTAATTAATTGAAAAAAGATATTCTTTATATATAATTTGTTATTTAAAATATTTTATTATGTCTTTACTTAATTATTTTTTCTTTATTTTTGTCCTTATTTACTCATTTATTTATTATTTCACAATCAAATTTTGAAAATGGCAAAATGGCTCCACTTCTCCCTTGCTTTTTTATATACATGTTTGTTACACATTTAGCAATACATATACCAAAACATTTTTTAGAATATTTAACTCTTTTAGTGAATTTTTGTCAGGGGGGCTGCAAAAATGCCGTATTTTTGCAATATTTGGATGCTTTTTTTGTAAAAAAAAATATTAGGACTTAGAATTAAGCTTTGTTCTTTTATGTACATGTTATTTATACCCTTTGCTGGGACGGACGCCCTTGGTCTTGGGCGGGAGGAGGTCCTAGACCTCCTCTCCTCGAGGACCAAGGCGCAGAAGCATGGACCCCTCCTGTCACCTCCGCAGGGCGATGCTCTCGCCGGCCTGATCAAACAAATCTTGGATCTGAGGCCCGGAGCAGGCAGCAATATCTATAAAGTCCTCGGACAGGTCAAGGCTGAGCTGAGGACAACACCAGCCGCAGTGCCTACACCTCCACTGCCTGCGCCTCGGCCTGCTGAGCCAACACCACCCGCTCCCCAGGACATGGAATCGTCACCGGCCATGGCCACACCTCCGCCTCCACAGTCTATACATGTGGAGGACACCCCGGACCTAACCCGTTGGAGGAGTTCGCTGGCCTGTCCGATCGTACTTCTCCCTATCCTGGGTAAAACCCTCGAGAGCATGCTCTCCTTAGACTCTCGCACCACTTTGAGTCCAACGGTCTCCTCCACCCCAATCAATTTGGATTCAGGAATGGGAGAAGTGCTATGGACATCCACGTCCTTCTCAAAGCTAAAGTTTCGGAGTCTATACGTTCCCACCAATGCGGCCTCCTTATCAGTCTCTACATCAAGTCGGCCTTTGATCACATGTGGCACCCCGCTTTCCTTGCCCAGCTCACTGCTGCTGAAAAGGGATAGCCAGGCCATAAAAAAAGTTTTAAAAAATCATCAGCGGGCTTCGAGTATCTTGTCCAAATCACATTGTTGAACTTGAATCAAACCTTCTTCCCTTGCACCTAAGGAGAAAAATATCTGCTTCTCAAAATTCATATCCAAAAAGATTCAAAAGAACACCCTACAGGAAATTTTATTAGAAATTGGGTCCCAAATCTATGGGATTTGTTATTGAGTTGGGCTATATCAAAAATAATGTTTCTTCTTTCAATAAAATACTGACAAAATTTGTCTAAACCCACATTTTGCTGAATCAGCAGTTGAGAGCCTAAAAGACAGGTAAATGTCATCAGCTTCATCGCCCAATAAATATATAAGCATATTTACCTGCTCGCTTTCATCTTTGGCATTTAAGCCTGTTGCGATCCTATAACGTTCAAAACATCTTGCCCACGTAATCCATTCTTCTGGACATTTGAAATTGAATTTTTCAGGTGGCGCAATGTTATTAAACATTTCAAAATTATGTTAATTTTATAATACCTTTGAATTAATTTAGACTAAATATATAAACATTTGTTAATAGGCTTACCGTTCATTTTGACGTTGTAACCACTATTTGAATGAATAAAACAAAACAGAAGCTCAAAGAAATGGAGCAGCAAGGAGTAATTGAGAAAGTTGATCATGCAACTGATTGGTTATCACCAATGGTGATTGTGCCTAAAAAGAATAACGAAATTCGAATATGCGTTGACCTCACCAAATTGAATGAGAAAATAAAAAGAGAACGATATCAAATGCCTATCCTAGAAGAAACTTTGAGCCAGTTAAGCAATGGTAAAGTGTTCTCAAAATTAGATGCTAATTCAGGATTTTGGCAAATACCTTTGGATGATAAGTCAAAAGACTTTACAACATTCTTGACACCTTTTGGACGGTATAGATTTTGTCGACTTCCATTTGGAATTACTAGCGCACCCGAGCATTTCCAAAAAAGAATGAGTGAGGTTTTAGGAGATATCGAAGGCTCAATGTGTCATCTAGATGATATCATAGTTTGGGGATCCAATTAGCAGGAACATGATGGAAGACTGAAACAAGTCCTTAGCAAACTGAAGGAAACAGGATTGACACTTAATAAAGAGAAATGTGTATTCTCTTCTCCTAAATTAAAGTTTTTGGGACACCAAATTGGACCTGATGGACTAAAGCCAGAAGAGAAAAAGATAAGGGCTGTTGTACATATATATATATTTTAATTATTTGTTACCACAGAGTGTGTGTAAGCTCACGGGTAAATAGGCGCTAAAAAACAAGAAAAAAGCCGTTTTATACATTTACAGACCTTTTTGCCCTTAAGGGATTGGGCGACCAAAGAGTGAGGGAATTATGCATTCAAGAAGGGCTAATTCCAGGTAATATATTTATTTCTTTGCTAAATTAATTTTCTCCTTAGTTTCATTGTGGTCGCATAGTTGTGCTGACCTCATAAAGCATCTTTTGCTTAATCATTTATGTTTTTATTACTATAATTGTTATGACGCAATCTATTTTATCTAGAGATTTATTCTAGTGTATATATATATTCAATAATAGTGACAAAGTTTATATTCTGAACGTGTGTCTTCGCAGGTGAAAGGACATGCCCGCACTGTGGCAGAGATATGGAACTGAAATCCTATAAAAACACAGATCATGTAGTATGGCGATGTAGAAGCACATCTAAAAAAATTGGAGTGCATAGTATTAGAACAAGTTTGCGATGCGGAACTTGGTTTGAGAAATCGACCTTAAAACTCTACCAAATTATAACAATGACTGCACTGTGGGTGGTAAAGATTGATATAAAGACCATTGCAGAGCAGTCTGGGGTATCTGATGACGCAGTAACGCACTGGGTTAACTTCTGCAGGGAGGTTTGCTACCTTCTATATCTGGACGACCATCCGAAAATTGGTGGTAAAGGCAAACAGGTGCAAATAGACGCGAGCCTGTTTGGCCACAATAAGAAAACTAAAAATCACTGTGCCAAAACTGCCGAAGGACATTGGGTTTTTGGCGGTGTAGACGTGGAAACAAAATATTTTTTTTCCAGGTGGTCGCCGACCGTAGGGCCCGTACTCTCATTGCGGTTATAAAAAAATATGTTTTGCCTGGCACCACCATTGAAGCCACCTCATGTGGATGAGGTTGTGCTTGCCCTCCGATCAGAAGACCCAATCTTCCCCTTCGCAGAAGACAAGAGGAACAAGAGCAATAGAAGAATGTTAACCACTGCTCTCCTCTGGTCGGACACAAACCAAGGAACAATAAGGCAGAGAATGACAGCCCTTGCTGCATCCGCAACCAGAAGTGTTGCCACCAGGTTCACTGCTCTTCTGGCCGAACTAGATACAGAAATTGCCGATATAAGGGCCACTCAACCTGCTGAGGCAGACCAGTTCAGACAGCAGGGCTCAAACATTGACCCAGTCTTCCTCATCTTCTTCATAATGATAAAGAGAGGAGGTTTGACTCTCGAAAACTTCTACAAGGCACAGAGATGTCTGTGGGCCATGGCAAGAAAAGTGAGAGGAAGAGTGGAAACATCCAAGATGCTCCAGCAGTTCAGAGAAGTGCCCGGCATACGCAACATCCAAGAATCAATCAGCAAAAGCCAGAAGCTGCATCTCCCTCCTTGGGTCCTGAACTATGCAAGACTGCAGGACCTGTACGCAACTGTAGGACCTGGGGATTCAAAAAACTTCGAAGCGACGCTAGGAACTCCGGGCGTATCCTGGCGTCATGTTTTGAATCTAAAAATGAACAACGCCTACCAACTAAAAGTGATCACCACTCTTTTCAAGATCGAGGAAAAGTCGGCAGATCTACAGAACAAAGAACCAGATGCAATGATATACCAGAGCCTGCACTCCTTCCATCAGCTGCTGCTGCAGAAGAGGAGCGCTCTGCAGAACAGTGCCCAAGTGAACGGAAATGCACTGCAAGTAACAATCATCTAGACTTAATCCTAAATCCAATAATATCTATTAAGCATAACCTTCAATATTCTGGCAATTTAAGTAAAGACTTTTTCCAATTCATAAAATATTCAACTAACTATAATGTAAAAGTAAAAACATATTGTAATCAACCAAAAGATAAGATCTGGCCTAAAAACAACACTATATATCTAATCAATGAAGAGTGTAAAGTCTTATCCCCCATCGAGATGTATAACCCAAAAAACCATGCACTATTCATAAATTTCCACACAATAAGAACTGAAATCCTACTTGACAGACCAGTAAAATTCCACCTCTTAAAGAGGGAGAGCAGCGTACAGACACATTTTAAAAAGGCTAAGGCTATTTCTTCAAAACATCTACCACATTTGGTGAGCCGGACGTGATCACATTTTTAAAATGAACAAAGATTCGAATGAAAATACAATTAAAGAAGCTTCTTCACCTCAAGAAGTCCACAAAGTAAGTATTAAAATTCCTCCTTTTTGGACAGATAAACCTGAGATTTGGTTTTATCAAGTTGAGGCGCAATTCAGTATAAATTGTATAACTTCAGAAGAAACAAAATATATATTTAATTATTTGATCGCACAACTTGAGCCTAAGTATATTGAAAATATTTGGGACATAATTACTCTTGATAGTAAATTTAAATATACAGAGTCCAAAACTAGACTTTTAACTATATTTAAAGCGAGTGAAAGTGTTAGAATAAAAAGGCTTATCACAGGAATTGAGCTTGGAAACATGAAGCCTAGTCAACTTTTACAGAAATTAAGATCTCTTGCCACTAAAGATATATTAGATAATCTAATAAAGACATTATGGCTTTAAAAATTATCTGATTCAATGAAGAAGATATTACTTGTAAGTGATGAAAATGTCACAAAATTAGCATCTATGGCTGATAAAATAATGGACATGACCTTTAGCCCTAATGTCTGTAGTGCTAGTTCTTCACAAACTTCTCATACTAATATGGAAAATTTGTTAGAGAAAATTTCTTCACTTGAAAGACAAGTGTCTGAAATTAATTTATCGAGATCAAGGCCAACATCAAAGAATCAAGGCCATCAACAAAATCCCAGAATACCATGGCCCAAATTATTACAAAAGGCCTTAGAAGAATATCGGAGTATTCCTCATTCCATAATTAAAATGCCTCCCGTTTATTTGCTTTTTGGCATAACGCCATCATATATCAATAAATTAACAAGAGCATATCCACCCATAGAAGAGGCTAGGAAAATTGCAAATGAAAATACCGAAAAATTACATCTTAAATTGGTAAAAAGATATAATGAATCCCATAAAACGCCTAATCTAAAAATAGGGGATAAGGTCCTTTATAAGATCCCTTACCAATCAGGTCAAGGTAAGCTCATGCCAGCCTTTTATCCAGAACCATACACCATAATTTCCATACCCTCACTACAAACCATAGAAATAGATAAGCCTTGCCAACCCGAAAATAAGCATGCAACAATAGTTAATATTTCTAAAGTAAAGCTCTGGGATCCGGTAACTGAAGATAATACTGAACCAACATTCCCATTTCAGGAAGAAGAGGATTTGGAAGGATGCTTGGGTATCGAACCTAACAAGCAAGCTTCCACCGATAGTCCTCAGGTTTTATTCTCTTCCATTAAAGAAAAAAAAAATCCAGATCACCCCACAGAGCCCCTGGAGAAACTACTGCCGGTTTCGAGAAAATAACAAAAAAGTTGCCCTGGAATGGGATTCTACATGGAGAGTGTCTCCATAGACATGTAATGTCCAAATTTTAAAATATCATTTTTTTCTTCCTGCCTATTGTTAGTTAGGTTTTGTAGGGCCACCTTTTCCTGTGATTTTCCCCAACAGGCTTTGGTCGCCTTTTACCTCTAACAATATAGTTTCTTGTGTAAATACAATTACTTGTGTAATATAATTTTTGCATTTTTTTTTCTTCCTTCAAAATGTATCTTATCCTTTACCTTCCATCCCCTCCCAACCTCCGTTGAGAAAAAAATTAACACTAGTTTTTTTTTTTTTTTTTTGTGGGGGGTAGTGATACATTTTGAATGATATTAAAATTCTATCTGCTTTGCATAATGTTCTTTGTTTGTAAAATAATTAATTTTTACAGCGTGCCAAGTATGTAAATTTTGTTGTTTGTTTTAAAAAGATTTGAAAAAAATAAAGATATGATTATTGAGGTGGAGACGGCCACAAACGACTGCTAATTCTTTTTCACACATAGAATTACATCATATATATGTCTCTCACAGTCTCTCCCTCCAGGTCTCGGTGATAAGCATCCAAGTTTGTGTCATGGCCTCTACCTCTGTCCCGTGGGCTGTTCCCGATCACTCTCTGTGTTAACATCCAGCCCTGCCTCTGCTTCTTGTTGTCCGGGTGTGGGAAGAACACCAACACTCGCCTCACGTACACGACTGCCAGTTCATCCTAACGTCGGCATTTGCAACAATATTACATATATATATATCGTAATTTAAACAATGTGATATGTAAGTAATAAAGTATGACGCCTTTTCTAGTCGTCTCAAAGTGACACCAGCTTGCCACGGGACACCTGGGGGATCCAGAGACGGACAAAAGAAGGGGCGTCCAGATTTCGACAGTTATTTAGGTTACAGTGGATATTTTCAGACAGCCCCGCTCGGTTGTAGGCCATTATCATCTCACGACGGTCCCCGCGGCTTCAGGCTGGACGCCGAGCTTTTCCTCAGTTAATCCTCAACTTTCCCCTGGTCCTGGTGCCACTTGAGATGTACTGGGGAGAGCATCTTTTGGTCCCAAACTTTGTCCTTACTGTCCCGTGCGGACTTCCCACTCTGCACGCCTTGCCACTCAACCCCGACTGCTTCCAACCCACTTGTCTTCTTACCCGGGTTTACGACATATATATATATATGTCGTTCTGTCTTTCTCTCTTTTCTCTATATATAACTACTAAAATTTATACTATTAAATATATTCTCACTTCTATTATTCTATATATAAATTAGAGTATGTCTAAATGACGGGTAACAGCCGATTGCAAAAGACGTTACGTTGTTAAATTTTATTGTTATTAATTATAAATATATAATAACTATTAATTATAAATATATAATAAATAAATAATAACAATTCACCATGGCTTGCTGCGAAATGGGACGCTGGCATCGACGATGGTAAATATCTTTGCCATTATCGTGAGGCTCGGCTCCAATCGCTGCATTTCCGGATTATGACTAACACTGATGTAAGGAATAGAGGTGGTACAATCTCGGTCTGTTTCATTCCCTATTCCATGGATACTCCAAACTCCAGTGTAGACTACACATGGATGCATCTCACAGACATTCAATGCGACCACAGAGCCGTCACTTTTAGAGAAAGTGACACTAGAACCTACACCTACACTCCCCGAGCTGGCGACAAAGCATTTTCCTGGATGCCTATCGCCAAGGTCACTCCTGACCATATTACTGGGCTTGGTGCTCTGCTTGTGGGTTATCAAACCTTTGGTTCTGATGACATGGCTACTATTTCCACTCATTATGGCTCTAGTGAGTTCTGCGTTGAGGTGACTTCCTCCGCATCCTTCCTCGTACGTGATTTTGTACCATCAACGATCGAGTTTGAGGATGGCGTGACCTATCTTAATACAGCAAATTTCAAAAACACATCGGTCCTATGATGCCCTTCAATATCCATTGATATTCCCTTATGGTGAAGACGGCTACCATTTTAACATTATGCAAATTGAGCCATTTTCAGGCACAATAACCAATAAAAAGGTTTCATCAATGGACTTCTACAGTTATAGAATATTGATTTGTGATAATAGCCCAAACCATATTTTTAAATGCAAGCAATTATTTCACCAATTTCTTGGCCTGGCACTTCTGCTGGGCCCTGTTCGCGGTACAGTGCTTCTGGTGGGATTTCCACGTCGCCAAGTCTCGTACTTGACACAGCGGAAATCAAGCCTGCGCGGTGGTCCATTTAACGGGTGGGGACAGCTATGAACATCAGGCCCTGCTGCTCAACGAGCTGAGGCCCTATGTGATTGTCGCCACCCCTGGACGCCTCCTTCACCATCTAAGACCAAGAACTTCTCTTTAAAATGTCTCAAAGTGCTGGTCCTGGATGAAGCGGACCGGATTCTTAAAAACGAAAAAGACCTGGATGAAATCCTGAACCTGCTGCCCAAGGAGAGGCAGACCTTGCTGTTCTCCGCCACTATGTCTGCGGAGAATATAGATCTCAATAGACTTTCTCTGCAAGACTTTGTGGAAATCCGAGCAGACACACTGATTAGCCCCCATCTGGAACATTTCTACCTTCGCTGTTTAACGGAGCACAAGGAATACTATCTGGCAGCACTTCTAGAAGGACCCTTTCATCGTAAGAGAGTGCTGATGTTCTGCAAAACAAAATTCAGCACTATTCGGCTGCACAGAATTCTTAAAACGCTTGGCTTCAGGCCAGTGATGCTCCATGGCGATATGGCTCGGGCTAACCGGAACAAGAATTTGAGAAAGTTCAAAGAGGAATCCCAATCTTATATGGTGGCTACAGATGTTGCAGGGAGGGGCATGGATTTCCCTGAAGTCTCGGCGGTGATAAATTTCGATCGCCCCAACGTGAAGGAAGACTATACCAGGAGAGTAGGCCGTACTGCTATGGCTGGAAATACTGGCCTAGCGATAACACTTCTTCCCAAATCTAACAAAGTGGACCTCGGCTATATGGTGAAAATGTTGAAAAACAAGATATTGAAGGAATTCAAACTAGGAATGTCTGAAGAAGAGGTCGTACAAGTTTATCAAGAAAGAACAGACAATGCCATAAGAATTGCCAATGCTGTGGTGGCTGAATTGAAGAAGGAGCAGGAAAATGAACAGATGAAAAGATCACTTCCCCAAGAAGATTCTGCATCACAACCCACCAAAAAGATGTGTAATTGAGTACCATCGCAATGCACCATCGCCGCGTGGCCCGGCAATCGACCAGGTTATTGTACCCATGTCTGTTTCGTCACGTGACATGCGTCCTTGTTCTGCCACTCATCTCGACAAGTTTGGCCATCCTATTGCGCATGTTTCTGCACACGTTGTCACGTGACCAGGTTTGTTTACCTCCTGGTAATAACAACCAGGTCGCTAATGCACACTGTGTAACACGTGACACAAACACGATGCTCTGGTGGTAAGCCCGTCTGACACCACACATGCGATAGCATACCCATTGCTGACATTGCATCCAAGAACAGCCAATCTCAGCAATGAGAGAAGAGGACACGTACTGTCACCTTGGAGTACCCACCAGATTCAACAAGCCAAGGAACCCCGGAGAAGCCATCAAGGGAATCAAGGAGGATGTGGAAAAAATCAACAACAGCCTACTCACTACTTGGCAGAAGATCGACGCCACCAAGACCTTCGTCTACACAAGACTCGACTTCATTCTTCGAGGTTCCCTGATCCACAAGACCTCCTTCAGGGAAGTGGACCTGCTGATAAAGAGACTAGGGAAGAAATGGCCTGGCCTGCCTCTGCAGGCCAGCAACGAGGTGCTCTTCATCCCTCCTTCCAAAGGCGGAGCAGGAATTCACTTTTATACAACTCTTTCACATATTTACATTAGTTTATTAATCTTATTTCAATTTGTATTTAAACCTGCTGGAATCAAAAGTATTTTTTGCTTATCTTCTTTGGGCAAAATATCTCTACAGATTTTGAAAGAGTTTGCTATGGCAGTATGCTGGGTATCTTTATGTGATTGCGCTGGTGTGGAATTCACATGCCCTGGCAGAGAATTCACATTCTGGGATAAAGTATTTATATGTTCTAATGTAGAATTTTCATGAGGTGATGTGACATGAGGTTTGATGCCATTTACCTGTGCAGGTATAGAAGTCCTGAACACAAGAGTTGGTAACTTGGGCTTGAGTAGGTTCAGGATATGTTCCTGGTATTCTTCATCCATCTGTGCAGGGTGGGCTTCGTACAGCCGGTGTATGTGATCAAATGTTGTATACATATATGGATGAAAGAATGGAGGAAAAGTGATCCTTAACATCTTCCATCACATCCTGTTCCATATGAACAGCATTCAAAAGACAACTCTAAGAGCTTTTAACTATTCAATAATAGCTGAATTAGTTTTTTAAAAAATCACTGGATTATTGGCTGATGATTCTGAGTGGGATGCATGCTTGGCTGAGGCGGCTTTGTTCCAAATGTCAGGTCAACTGCGCCAGCTCTTTGCGACAATTCTCATCTTCGATAATCCAAACGACACTGGATCATTGTGGACCAAATACAAGGGGTATCTTAGTGAGGACTTTTCTCGTGGAACCTCTGAGACAGCTGCTGAGGCTCTCAGAGCCCTTGATTTTCAGCAGAGTGAAAATTGCCTCAGCTGCCACCATTATGGACTTCCTGCCCCCCTGAACCCGAGAGTTCTGTCGGTGACTTCAGCTAGTCCAGTTTGTCCCCCCACCAGTGGTAAGGCTTCTGGATACTACTGAAGTTAAAAGCTTCTCTCGATTTAGGAGCACTTCTTGTCAGTCCCTAATGACCCCCCACCCGTGGTAAGGCTTCTGGATACTACTGAAGTTAAAAGCTTCTCTCGATTTAGGAGCACTTCTTGTCAGTCCCTAATGACCCCCACCCGTGGTAAGGCTTCTGGATACTACTGAAGTTAAACGCTTCTCTCAATTTAAGAGCACTTCTTCTCAGTCCCTAATGACCCCCCACCCGTGGTAAGGCTTCTGGATACTACTGAAGTTAAAAGCTTCTCTTGATTTAGGAGCACTTCTTGTCAGTCCCTAATGACTCCAACCCGTGGTAAGGCTTCTGGATACTACTGAAGTTAAAAGCTTCTCTCGATTTAGAAGCACTTCTTGTTAGTCCCTAATGACCCCCCACTCACACGCCTACCAGGTTCTCACACAAATGTGACACATATACACAACCTTGCCCCCGCTCTTTGTGATCCGTTTAGGATGCCGTTCCAGCTACCTGAGGTCTTTAAATGTCCCGAGTGTTACGGGATGGCGAGAGTAACCCGCAGTGGTGTCTACAAGCAGCACAACGATCTGGTGAAGCACCTTCATGTTCTACACAAGATTAACAACGTAGTTTTTCACTGCACGGTCTGCCAACAAAGCTTCAAAGACCTGCGCCAAACACCACCAGGATTGCTCTACGGTTGAAAAACGGGCCCAAAAGAGCGCACCTTCTAAGAGGATCAAGAAGAAGACACCTAGAAGCGACTCTACGGCCCTGGAGGAGTCGAAACACTCGACTCAGCCAGCGGCCCAGGAACCGATTTCTTCAGAGACTCCGACAGGACTGCCTGTGGAACTGGACCAACAAAACACCCCCGCCCCCCGTGAGTGACCTCTCCGCCGAGACTACACCCTTCAGACCGGAGGCTCACGGGACGAGTTTGGCTACCAGCGAAGCGGGCCAAACAACTTTTGTCCCACCCCTACCAGAGAACGCCGCCGAGGAAGATCAAAGGGGTACTTCCTCTGAAGAAATACGCCCCTCCAGCATCCATCCCTGCACAGCCGTCAGAGAGTCCCTTGGTCCAACAAGAGGAAGCAGCAGACAACCTACGGCTGCCGGTCGTAAATAGCGACCCTCCCAACGTGCAAACGCCGCAGGTTTTGGACAGCGTTGATCTTCAAGCAGCGCCCCACCTGACAACCCTGCCCACTTGCCACAGGATACACCGGTCACCCCTCCTCCAGCTTCACAGCCAGTTGATGAACTCCAGCAGCGCCCGCCCTGAAAATCCCTCACTCCCTTTCAGGAAGAGTGGGATGGAAAGTGGACAGCTGCACCCGACAGGGAAACACTCTTTTCCTTGATCGAGAATTTCATCAAAGGAGTTAAAAACGAGACCGGAAAACCTGACACATGGACAAGACGCAGAGTGCCACCACCATAAAAACCTCGGAGTACCCGACCATCGGCACCCAGCTTTGATGCTGAGGCGAAGCTGCAGAGGTCCTACAACATCAATAAGAACGCCGCCGAGGAAGATCAAAGGGGTACTTCCTCTAAAGAAATACGCCCCACCAGCATCCATCCCTGAACAGCCGTCAGAGAGTCCCTTGGTCCAACAAGAGGAAGCAGCAGACAACCTACGTCTGCCGGTCGTAAATAGCGACCCTCCCAATGTGCAAACGCCGCAGGTTTTGGACAGCGTTGATCTACAAGCAGCACAACGATCTGGTGAAGCACCTTCGTGTTCTACACAAGATTAACAACGTGGTTTTTGACTGCACGGTCTGCTAACAAAGCTTCAAAGACCTGCGGACCTGCAGAAGCACCAAACACCACCAGGATTGCTCTACGGTTAAAAAACGGGCCCAAAAGAGCGCACCATCTACGAGGAGCAAGAAGAGGACACCTGGAAGCGACGCCGCGGCCCTGGAGGAGCCTGAACACTCAACTCAGTCAGCGGCCAGGAGCCGATTTCTTCAGAGACTCCGACAGGACCGCCTGTGGAACTGGACCAACAAAACGTCCCCCTAATATAATCGTTTGTTTACAAAATATTCTAATTAATTTAAGGTTGGTAATTTTATTTTGTATGCCAAATTATTTGGTAATACTTTATTTAAATTAAAAATGGGAGATAAATTCAATAGGAAAAAAAATGTTTCCTGTGTTGGAAAAACTAATGGAAAATATTTCTACATTTTTAAATGCCAAAATTGGGCCAACGCTCCCCGAGCTGCACCATCCCCATCCAGATGATCGAAGAACACTTTGAGAAACGCATGGTTGGGGACAACACCGAGTTCAGCCCCGACCCAGATCTCCTCAAGGACTTCGCCCCCCAGGACGGAGCCCAGTTGGAAGAACCCATCTCTTCCAACACAGTATGGTACCGCCTTCTCAAGATGGGAAACACTGCTCCTGGTCCCGATGGCATCAGCTACCAGGAACTGAAACGGGTGGATCCCAAAGCCACCATCCTCACCCAGATCTTCCAGGTCTGCTTCCAGATGAGGGCGGTACCCCCATCATGGAAGGAAAGTTCCTCTATCTTGCTCCACAAGAAAGGGGACGCCGAGGACATTTGCAACAATATTACATATATATATATATATCGTAATTTAAACAATGTGATATGTAAGTAATAAAGTATGACGCCTTTTCTAGTCGTCTCAAAGTGACACCAGCTTGCCACGGGACACCTGGGGGATCCAGAGACGGACAAAAGAAGGGGCGTCCAGATTTCGACAGTTATTTAGGTTACAGTGGATATTTTCAGACAGCCCCGCTCGGTTGTAGGCCATTATCATCTCACGACGGTCCCCGCGGCTTCAGGCTGGACGCCGAGCTTTTCCTCAGTTAATCCTCAACTTTCCCCTGGTCCTGGTGCCACTTGAGACGTACTGGGGAGAGCATCTTTTGGTCCCAAACTTTGTCCTTACTGTCCCGTGCGGACTTCCCACTCTGCACGCCTTGCCACTCAACCCCGACTGCTTCCAACCCACTTGTTGTCTTACCCGGGTTTACGACATATATATATATGTCGTTCTGTCTTTCTCTCTTTTCTCTATATAACTACTAAAATTTATACTATTAAATATATTCTCACTTCTATTATTCTATATATAAATTAGAGTATGTCTAAATGACGGGTAACAGCCGATTGCAAAAGACGTTACGTTGTTAAATTTTATTGTTATTAATTATAAATATATATGGATGATGCGTAAGAAGTAAAGAATTTTTTTTTTCTCTCTCTATTAAATAATAACAATTCACCATGGCTTGCTGCGAAATGGGACGCTGGCATCGACGATGGTAAATATCTTTGCCATTATCGTGAGGCTCGGCTCCAATACCTGCATTTCCGGATTATGACTAACACTGATGTAAGGAATAGAGGTGGTACAATCTCGGTCTGTTTCATTCCCTATTCCATGGATACTCCAAACTCCAGTGTAGACTACACATGGATGCATCTCACAGACATTCAACGCGACCACAGAGCCGTCACTTTTAGAGAAAGTGACACTAGAACCTACACCTACACTCCCCGAGCTGGCGACAAAGCATTTTCCTGGATGCCTATCGCCAAGGTCACTCCTGACCATATTACTGGGCTTGGTGCTCTGCTTGTGGGTTATCAAACCTTTGGTTCTGATGACATGGCTACTATTTCCACTCATTATGGCTCTAGTGAGTTCTGCGTCGAGGTGACTTCCTCCGCATCCTTCCTCGTACGTGATTTAGTACCATCAACGATCGAGTTTGAGGATGGCGTGACCAATCTTAATACAGCAAATTTCAAAAACACATCGGTCCTATGATGCCCTTCAATATCCATTGATATTCCCTTATGGTGAAGACGGCTACCATTTTAACATTATGCAAATTGAGCTATTATCAGGTGCAATAACCAATAAAAAGGTTTCATCAATGGACTTCTACAGTTATAGAATATTGATTCGTGATAATAGCCCAAACCATATTTTTAAATGCAGGCAATTATTTCACCAATTTCTTGGCCTGGCACTTCTGCTGGGCCCTGTTCGCGGGACAGTGCTTCTGGTGGGATTTCCACGTTGCCAAGTCTCGTACTTGACACAGCGGAAATCACGCCTGCGCGGTCACGTGACTCGGGGACCAGCGGCGAGCCGCGCGGCCCGGCGATCGACCAGGTTATTGCACCCATGTCTGTTTGGTCACGTGACATGCGTCCTTGTTCTGCCACTCTTCTCGACGAGTTTGGCCATCCTATTGCGCACGTTTCTGCACACGTTGTCACGTGACCAGGTTTGTTTACCTCCTGGTAATAACAACCAGGTCGCTGATGCACACTGTGTAACACGTGACACAAACACGATGCTCTGGTGGTAAGCCCGTCTGACACCACACGCCTACCAGGTTCTCACACAATGTGACACATGTACACAACCTTGCCCCTGCTCTTTGTGATCCGTTTAGGATGCCGTTCCAGCTACCTGAGGTCTTTAAATGTCCCGAGTGTTACGGGATGGCGAGAGTAACCCGCAGTGGTGTCTACAAGCAGCACAACGATCTGGTGAAGCACCTTCATGTTCTACACAAGATCAACAACGTGGTTTTTGACTGCACGGTCTGCCAACAAAGCTTCAAAGACCCGCAGAAACACCACCAGGATTGCTCTACGGTTGAAAAACTGGCCCAAAAGAGCGCACCATCTACGAGGAGCAAGAAGACACCTGGAAGCGACACCGCGGCCCTGGAGGAGTCGAAACACTCGACTCAGCCAGCGGCCCAGGAACCGATTTCTTCAGAGACTCCGACAGGACTGCCTGTGGAACTGGACCAACAAAACACCCCCGCCCCCCGTGAGTGACCTCTCCGCCGAGACTACACCCTTCAGACCGGAGGCTCACGGGACGAGTTTGGCTACCAGCGAAGCGGGCCAAACAACTTTTGTCCCACCCCTACCAGAGAACGCCGCCGAGGAAGATCAAAGGGGTACTTCCTCTGAAGAAATACGCCCCTCCAGCATCCATCCCTGCACAGCCGTCAGAGAGTCCCTTGGTCCAACAAGAGGAAGCAGCAGACAACCTACGGCTGCCGGTCGTAAATAGCGACCCTCCCAACGTGCAAACGCCGCAGGTTTTGGACAGCGTTGATCTTCAAGCAGCGCCCCACCTGACGACCCTGCCCACTTGCCACAGGATACACCGGTCACCCCTCCTCCAGCTTCACAGCCAGTTGATGAACTCCAGCAGCGCCCGCCCTGAAAATCCTTCACTCCCTTTCAGGAAGAGTGGGATGGAAAGTGGACAGCTGCACCCGACAGGGAAACACTCTTTTCCTTGATCGAGAATTTCATCAAAGGAGTTAAAAACGAGACCGGAAAACCTGACACATGGACAAGACGCAGAGTGCCACCACCATAAAAACCTCGGAGTACCCGACCATCGGCACCCAGCTTTGATGCTGAGGCGAAGCTGCAGAGGTCCTACAACATCAATAAGAACGCCGCCGAGGAAGATCAAAGGGGTACTTCCTCTAAAGAAATACGCCCCACCAGCATCCATCCCTGAACAGCCGTCAGAGAGTCCCTTGGTCCAACAAGAGGAAGCAGCAGACAACCTACGGCTGCCGGTCGTAAATAGCGACCCTCCCAATGTGCAAACGCCGCAGGTTTTGGACAGCGTTGATCTACAAGCAGCACAACGATCTGGTGAAGCACCTTCGTGTTCTACACAAGATTAACAACGTGGTTTTTGACTGCACGGTCTGCTAACAAAGCTTCAAAGACCTGCGGACCTGCAGAAGCACCAAACACCACCAGGATTGCTCTACGGTTAAAAAACGGGCCCAAAAGAGCGCAATATCTACGAGGAGCAAGAAGAGGACACCTGGAAGCGACGCCGCGGCCCTGGAGGAGCCTGAACACTCAACTCAGTCAGCGGCCCAGGAGCCGATTTCTTCCGAGACTCCGACAGGACCGCCTGTGGAACTGGACCAACAAAACGTCCCCCTAATATAATCGTTTGTTTACAAAATATTCTAATTAATTTAAGGTTGGTAATTTTATTTTGTATGCCAAATTATTTGGTAATACTTTATTTAAATTAAAAATGGGAGATAAATTCAATAGGAAAAAAAGTTTCCTGTGTTGGAAAAACTAATGGAAAATATTTCTACATTTTTGAATGCCAAAATTGGGCCAACGCTCCCCGGGCTGCACCATCCCCATCCAGATGATCGAAGAACACTTCGAGAAACGCATGGTTGGGGACAACACCGAGTTCAGCCCCGACCCAGATCTCCTCAAGGACTTCGCCCCCCAGGACGGAGCCCAGTTGGAAGAACCCATCTCTTCCAACGCAGTATGGTACCGCCTTCTCAAGATGGGAAACACTGCTCCTGGTCCCGATGGCATCAGCTACCAGGAACTGAAACGGGTGGATCCCAAAGCCACCATCCTCACCCAGATCTTCCAGGTCTGCTTCCAGATGAGGGCGGTACCCCCTTCATGGAAGGAAAGTTCCTCTATCTTGCTCAACAAGAAAGGGGACGCCGAGGACATTTGCAACAATATTACATATATATATATCGTAATTTAAACAATGTGATATGTAAGTAATAAAGTATGACGCCTTTTCTAGTCGTCTCAAAGTGACACCAGCTTGCCACGGGACACCTGGGGGATCCAGAGACGGACAAAAGAAGGGGCGTCCAGATTTCGACAATTATTTAGGTTACAGTAGATATTTTCAGACAGCCCCGCTCGGTTGTAGGCCATTATCATCTCACGACGGTCCCCGCGGCTTCAGGCTGGACGCCGAGCTTTTCCTCAGTTAATCCTCAACTTTCCCCTGGTCCTGGTGCCACTTGAGACGTACTGGGGAGAGCATCTTTTGGTCCCAAACTTTGTCCTTATTGTCCCGTGCGGACTTCCCACTCTGCACGCCTTGCCACTCAACCCCGACTGCTTCCAACCCATTTGTTGTCTTACCCGGGTTTACGACATATATATATATGTCGTTCTGTCTTTCTCTCTTTTCTCTATATATAACTACTAAAATTTATACTATTAAATATATTCTCACTTCTATTATTCTATATATAAATTAGAGTATGTCTAAATGACGGGTAACAGCCGATTGCAAAAGACGTTACGTTGTTAAATTTTATTGTTATTAATTATAAATATATATGGATGATGCGTAAGAAAAGAATTTTTTTTTTTCTCTCTCTATTAAATAATAACAATTCACCATGGCTTGCTGCGAAATGGGACGCTGGCATCGACGATGGTAAATATCTTTGCCATTATCGTGAGGCTCGGCTCCAATCGCTGCATTTCCGGATTATGACTAACACTGATGTAAGGAATAGAGGTGGTACAATCTCGGTCTGTTTCATTCCCTATTCCATGGATACTCCAAACTCCAGTGTAGACTACACATGGATGCATCTCACAGACATTCAACGCGACCACAGAGCCGTCACTTTTAGAGAAAGTGACACTAGAACCTACACCTACACTCCCCGAGCTGGCGACAAAGCATTTTCCTGGATGCCTATCGCCAAGGTCACTCCTGACCATATTACTGGGCTTGGTGCTCTGCTTGTGGGCTATCAAACCTTTGGTTCTGATGACATGGCTACTATTTCCACTCATTATGGCTCTAGTGAGTTCTGCGTCGAGGTGACTTCCTCCGCCTCCTTCCTCTTATGTGATTTTGTACCATCAACGATCGAGTTTGAGGATGGCGTGACCTATCTTAATACAGCAAATCTCAAAAACACATCGGTCCTATGATGCCCTTCAATATCCATTGATATTCCCTTATGGTGAAGACGGCTACCATTTTAACATTATGCAAATTGAGCCATTATCAGGTGCAATAACCAATAAAAAGGTTTCATCAATGGACTTCTACAGTTATAGAATATTGATTCGTGATAATAGCCCAAACCATATTTTTAAATGCAGGCAATTATTTCACCAATTTCTTGGCCTGGCACTTCTGCTGGGCCCTGTTCGCGGGACAGTGCTTCTGGTGGGATTTCCACGTTGCCAAGTCTCGTACTTGACACAGCGGAAATCACGCCTGCGCGGTCACATGACTCGGGGACCAGCGGCGAGCCGCGCGGCCCGGCGATCGACCAGGTTATTGCACCCATGTCTGTTTGGTCACGTGACATGCGTCCTCGTCTCGACGAGTTTGGCCATCCTATTGCGCATGTTTCTGCACACATTGTCACGTGACCAGGTTTGTTTACCTCCTGGTAATAACAACCAGGTCGCTGATGCACACTGTGTAACACGTGACACAAACACGATGCTCTGGTTTTAAGCCCGTCTGACACCACACGCCTACCAGGTTCTCACACAAATGTGACACATGTACACAACCTTGCCCCTGCTCTTTGTGATCCGTTTAGGATGCCGTTCCCGCTACCTGAGGTCTTTAACCCTTTAGGCGCCAGCCGGCCGATCGGTCGTCAATGACCTTGAGTCAGCTAGCGCCAGTCGGCCGATACATCGGCCGACGTCACATGATCTCCCCCCTCCACTTCTGCTCCCCATATCGGGCCTCACATTGAGTCATATTACAGCTAAACATTTCTTTATATTCTGCCAGCAACTACCCCTCGTCCCCTGTCAGCGGATCCTGGACCTCGTCAGCCACTTCGGCGTCCAGTAGCTCAGATGGAGGAGAGGCCCCGGGTCAGACGACAGGTTGCTGGGGAGAGCCCAGTCCTCTGGATTTGGATCCTGAAATAAGAAGGCTGAGACAGTTTGGAATCACAGTAGGACGGAAGCCCGACACGTCCCCTGTCCCCAGCAGTTCCCCTACATCCCCACTGTTGCCGACCCCTGTCACCTACCCGCCGCTGATCAGACGCTTACACTGCGCCTTCTGCGCGCGGAACGGCGAAACGCGGGAGTATATCGCCACTCACGAGCTGCGGGACCCAGTCACCGGCCACATCCTATGTCCCGTGTTGCGGTCCCACGTGTGCGACATCTGCGGAGAGACGGGTGACAAGGCTCATACCCGCAGCTACTGCCCCAGCGGTGGCCCTGATGTCATAAATATGGGGATCCTCACGAAAACTCTCAACAACTCCACCGGACGCAGGAAGCGCTAAGGAAGCCGCTTTCTTTCGCGATCTATGTCTTTAATTTATATTTAGACATTTTTCATTTTAATTTAGACACTTTCATTTTTATTTAGACATTTTCAATTTTAATTTGGACATTTTTCATTTCAATTTAGACATTTTTCATTTTAATTTAGACACAGGGAGTTTTCTATAAAAAGCCAATGTGTCTAAATTAAAATGAAAAATGTCTGGATTGAAATGAAAAATGTCTAAATTAAAATTGAAAATGTCTAAAATAAAATGAAAAATGTCTAAATATAAATTAAAATTGTCAAATTAAAAGTTAAAAACCTATATCAGACAATATATGCCGGGAAAGCATCATGGTCGCTTTGGGATCAAGCTCTGGATGGTATGTGAATCCGAGACAGGATACTGCCTCCAGTTCGAGCCATATAAAGGCAAACTTGGCCAGATCCACAAAAGTCTCTCATATGATGTTCCAATGAAGCTTTTAACCAATTCTAATTTGTTGAACAAGGGGCATCATATTGTGGTAGACAATTTCTTCACGAGCATTGATCTCGCTCGGGATCTGGCCAAGAATGGCACTTACCTGACTGGAACTGTGAGGGCCAATAGAAAAGGATTTCCAGCTGCCATAAAAACTGCCAATTACGGAGGGTGTTTCCTTTCAAATGAAACGATTTTCGCGCGCTCGCGTTTTGCACGTGCAGGCATGCTGCACACGACACTGGTTCCAATAGATCTAGAATCTTCTGGAGAATTCATTTTCATCAGGTATCATGATTTTTGCAACATGGGGGGAGAGAGACTAACGCTCCAAGTCGAACAAACAATTCGGACCCTTTCCAAAGAAGGAAACAGTTATAGCGTCATAGTGAAAAAGCTAAAAGCAGAAGGACTAGATGTTGGCAAAGCTACAATATGTAGGGTAGTAAATGGCATCGGAAAGAAAAGGGAAGCTGAATTCAATGGGCAAAAATTTCAAGTCGATCGACCACGTCCGGTGCGGACCCCCGCCACGGTTTCCAAGGTAAAGCGGCTAGCAACTACTGAAAATCCACCATCTCAGCGCCAACTTTCCAGAATGTGTGGAACATCGCTAAAAACGATAAATAACATCATTCACAAAGATTTGGAACTGGATACCCGACGAAAAGGCAAGGTTCACAAGCTCACCCCTTTCCACATGAAAAACCGTGCAACGAATGCCCGGAAGCTCTACGAGGAACACCTGGCCGGTTCCAGATCGGAATATACTGCAACATTGGACGAAGCATGGATGTATGTGACGTATTGCAATGGAATCCGGAAGATCTGTTACATCAAAAGAGGCAATCAGGTCCCGGATAATTGGGTTCACCAATGCTCCGAAACTTTCCCTAAAGGTTTCATGGTTGTCGGGGTAATGACTGGCCGTGGAGTCCTTCCGCTCATAAAGGTTCCATCGAAGGTGAAGGTGAACTCAGAATTCTATATAGAATGCGTTCTGAAACCTGTCATCGAACAACTGAAGGACCTTTACCCAGGGGAAATGGACAAAGTGTTCCTTCATCACGACAAAGCTTCTTCCCATACCTCCAACAAAACCCAACAATTCCTACAAGAAATGAAGGACACCCTAGGCCTAAATTTTATCAGGAACTCGGACATTCCAGTGAAGTCTCCCGACGCCAGCCCACCGGATTTTTACATCATCTATCTTCAACATTTCAAAGATTCTCCCCTGTTGTCTAGACAGAAATTCAATATCTCCGTCATAAAAAGCCTGGTGGAAAACATTCAAGAAACTTGCAATCCTTCAACCAGCCAGATTCAAGTCCAGAGTTTGCCTCAAAAAAGGGAAATGAGGTGTGTGGAGTGCAGCACTCCACAAAACCGAAAAAGATCCCGAACTATTTGCACTGGATGTCATAAAGGCCTTCATGCAATATGCGCCCTGAAACACACTTGTAAATAAAGTAAATTGTTCCTATTTCCTTATAAAACTTTCAAATATAATATATCTTGATTATATATACCCCCAATTTGAAATTAAAATGTAAATATTTTTTATTTTTTCCAAAATTGCATATTAAATATATTTTTAAAAATATATCTTTATGATTTATTAAATTAATATTCAATGCATCTAAAAGTACATATTCTATTGCATACTACATAATTTTTGTATGAAATTTGCGAGGCATTAAATAGTTTTAAAAATGAAAATCAAAAGTGCACCGTTTTCAATATTTTGCAGGCTGGTGCTTATATGGTAATGACCTTGAAAGCGGCCGGCGCCTAAAGGGTTAAATGTCCCGAGTGTTACGGGATGGCGAGAGTAACCCGCAGTGGTGTCTACAAGCAGCACAACGATCTGGTGAAGCACCTTCGTGTTCTACACAAGATCAAAAACGTGGTTTTAGACTGCACAGTCTGCCAACAAAGCTTCAAAGACCTGCAGAAACACCACCAGGATTGCTCTACGGTTGAAAAACTGGCCCAAAAGAGCGCACCATCTACGAGGAGCAAGAAGACACCTGGAAGCGACACCGCGGCCCTGGAGGAGCCAGAACACTCGACTCAGCCAGCGGCCCAGGAGCCGATTTCTTCCGAGACTCCGACAGGACCGCCTGTGGAACTGGACCAACAAAACCCCCCCCCACGTGGCCATAGAGGTAATAGTCTGCACCCTCGCCTCGATGGCGAAGGACCATGGTGTCTGCTTACTCAGGCACCATGTGTCGGTGCTGGCCTATGCCAATGACCTCCTTATCATGGCCAAGGACAAGGAGTCTCTACAAGCGCCCCTGGACACCACCGGCGATCTGGCGGGAAAGATCGGACTCCACTTCAAGGGCCCCAAATGCGCGACTCTTCACTTAGACTGCAGGAAAAAGAGGACTACCCTGCCCACGACCTTCTGCATCCAAGAACATCCTAGGAGCAGTGGCCACCCAGACCTTTCGGTCCATAAACCGGAGCATGCAATAGCATACCCATTGCTGACATTGCATCCAAGAACAGCCAAGCTCAGCAATGAGAGAAGAGGACACGTACTGTCACCTTGGAGTACCCACCAGATTCAACAAGCCAAGGAACCCCGGAGAAGCCATCAAGTGAATCAAGGAGGATGTGGAAAAAATCAACGCCACCAAGACCTTCGTCTACACAAGACTCGACTTCATTCTTCGAGGTTCCCCGATCCACAAGACCTCCTTCAGGGAAGTGGACCTGCTGATAAAGAGACTAGGGAAGAAATGGCCTGGCCTGCCTCTGCAGGCCAGCAACGAGGTGCTCTTCATCCCTCCTTCCAAAGGGGGAGCAGGAATGGTGCCGTTTGGTGACAGGACCGATTTAGCCAAGATCCAACACGCCTTCCGGCTCCTCACGAGCCCAGACTCTGAAACCTCTGCACTCGCCAAAAGCCTTCTTAAAAGAGTTGCGGAGAGGAAGCTGGGACGGCCTGCACTGGAAGAGGACCTGGCAGGGTATCTGTCGGGGAAACTTGACGGTGATTTTGCCAGGGTTGGTGGAGACATCACCTCACTCTGCAGTGATGCCAGAAACGCTTCCCGACGCCTCTCAAAAAGGATCGGCATTTAGTGGGTCCGCAACCCAACGTTGGGAGACATTACTATCAAGCTCCCCAACGCCGGTAAGACACCGAAGAAGATCAGCCTTGGTGGCAGCCACGGTCTGCCAACAAAGCTTCAAAGACCTGCAGAAGCGCCAAACACCACCAGGATTGCTCTACGGTTGAAAAATGGGCCCAAAAGAGCGCACCATCTACGAGGAGCAAGAAGACACCTAAAAGCGACTCTGCGGCCCTGGAGGAGCCGGAACACTCGACTCAGCCAGTGGCCAATTTCTTCCGAGACACCGACAGGACTGCCTGTGGAACTGGACCAACAAAACGCCCCCTAATACAGGGTGCTTCAAAAAAATGTATACTTTTCGATTTGAAGGCACTGTAACTGGTATTAATTACCTAACAATGCTTGCTGATTCCATATTTCCTGCCATTCGTGCATTATACGGTAATGATAATTTTTATTTTCAACTAGATGGTGCTCCGCCGTACTATCACAGGGATGTACGAGCTTATCTGGATCAAAATTTGTCGGGCCAGTGGATAGGACGCAGGGGGCCAATCGAGTTTCCAGCATGCTCTCCAGACCTTACACCACTGGATTTCTTCTTGTGGGGCACAGTAAAAGATGGGGTGTACAAACGTAAACCACGTAACCTAGACATTCTTTGGAATGAGATTCAAGCAGTGTGTAGAGAAATCTCATTGGAAGTTTTGATACGATGTACAGAATCTGTGGTGACTCGTATAATGGTTTGTTTACAAAATATTCCAATTAATTTAAGGTTGGTAATTTTATTTTGTATGCCAAATTATTTGGTAATACATTATTTAAATTAAAAATGGGGATAAATTCAATAGGAAAAAAAATGTTTCCTGTGTTGGAAAAACTAATGGAAAATATTTCTACATTCTTAAATGCCAAAATTGGGCCAACGCTCCCCGGGCTGCACCATCCCCATCCAAATGATCGAAGAACACTTCGAGAAACGCATGGTTGGGGACAACACCGAGTTCAGCCCCGACCCAGATCTCCTCAAGGACTTCGCCCCCCAGGACGGAGCCCAGTTGGAAGAACCCATCTCTTCCAACGCAGTATGGTACCGCCTTCTCAAGATGGGAAACACTGCTCCTGGTCCCGATGGCATCAGCTACCAGGAACTGAAACGGGTGGATCCCAATGCCACCATCCTCACCCAGATCTTCCAGATGAGGGCGGTACCCCCTTCATGGAAGGAAAGCTCCTCTATCTTGGTCCACAAGAAAGGGGACGCCGAGGACCTAGGGAACTGGAGGCCTATCACGCTGGGCAACACGATCGCAAAACTTTACACCGCGGTCCTGGCTGATAAGCTCAGGAGATGGGCAGCGACGACGGGACAGCTCTCCAAGGCAGGGCTTCATGGAGTTCGAGGGGTGCCTGGAACATAATTTTGTGGTCCAGAGTGCCATCGAGGAGACCAAGAGAACCAGCAGACAAGCTTGCTTCGCCTGGCTGGATCTTGAAAATGCATTCGGCTCGGTACCGCACGAAAACCTCTTCAATGTGTTAGATGCATTTAGTATCCCTAAGAAGGTAATCGCTGTATTCAGGGACCTGTACACGAACTCCTCTACCTAGATCAGGACCCTGCTGGGAACCACATTGCCCATCCCCTTTAAACGCGGGGTGAAGCAAGGCTGCCCTGGAAGCCCAACCCTCTTCAACGTGGCCATAGAGGTAATAGTCTGCACCCTCGCCTCGATGGCGAAGGACCATGGTGTCTGCTTACTCGGGCACTATGTGTCGGTGCTGGCCTATGCCGATGACCTCCTTATCATGGTCAAGGACAAGGAGTCTCTACAAGCGCCCCTGGACACCACCGGCGATCTGGCGGGAAAGATCGGACTCCACTTCAAGGGCCCCAAATGCGCGACTCTTCACTTGGACTGCAGGAAAAAGAGGACTACCCTGACCAGGACCTTCTGCATCCAAGAACAGCCGATCTCAGCAATGAGAGAAGAGGACACGTACTGTCACCTTGGAGTACCCACCGGATTTATCAAGACAAGAAACCCTGAGGAAGCCATCAAGGGAATCAATGAAGATGCAGAAAAAATCCATAGCAGCCTCCTCGCTCCCTGGCAGAAGATCGACGCCACCAAGACCTTCGTCTACACAAGACTCGACTTCATTCTTCGAGGTTCCCCGATCCACAAGACCTTCAGGGAAGTGGACCTGCTGATGAAGAGACTAGGGAAGAAATGGCCTGGCCTGCCTCTGCAGGCCAGCAACGAGGTGCTCTTCATCCCTCCTTCCAAAGGCGGAGCAGGAATTCACTTTTATACAACTCTTTCACATATTTACATTAGTTTATTAATCTTATTTCAATTTGTATTTAAACCTGCTGGAATCAAAAGTATTTTTTGCTTCTCTTCTATGGGCAAAATATCTCTACAGATTTTGAAAGAGTTTGCTATGGCATGATTACGGTTGAAAAACGGGCCCAAAAGAGCGCACCTTCTAAGAGGATCAAGAAGAAGACACCTAGAAGCGACTCTACGGCCCTGGAGGAGTCGAAACACTCGACTCAGCCAGCGGCCCAGGAACCGATTTCTTCAGAGACTCCGACAGGACTGCCTGTGGAACTGGACCAACAAAACACCCCCGCCCCCTGTGAGTGACCTCTCCGCCGAGACTACACCCTTCAGACCGGAGGCTCACGGGACAAGTTTGGCTACCAGCGAAGCGGGCCAAACAACTTTTGTCCCCCCCCCTACCAGAGAACGCCGCCGAGGAAGATCAAAGGGGTACTTCCTCTGAAGAAATACGCCCCTCCAGCATCCATCCCTGCACAGCCGTCAGAGTCCCTTGGTCCAACAAGAGGAAGCAACAGACAACCTACGGCTGCCGGTCGTAAATAGCGACCCTCCCAACGTGCAAACGCCGCAGGTTTTGGACAGCGTTGATCTTCAAGCAGCCGCCCCACCTGACGACCCTGCCCACTTGCCACAGGATACTCCGGTCACCCCTCCTCCAGCTTCACAGCCAGTTGATGAACTCCAGCAGCGCCCGCCCTGAAAATCCCTCACTTACTTTCAGGAAGAGTGGGATGGAAAGTGGACAGCTGCACCCGACAGGGAAACACTCTTTTCCTTGATCGAGAATTTCATCAAAGGAGTTAAAAACGAGACCGGAAAACCTGACACATGGACAAGACGCAGAGTGTCTACACAAGACTCGACTTCATTCTTCGAGGTTCCCCGATCCACAAGACCTTCAGGGAAGTGGACAGTTCCATGGCCCGTTTGTTTCCCCCTTGCCTGAGTGTCGGTGATTACATACTGGTATCATAAAAAAAAAAAATGCATTTCTCCCAATTTCATATTTCTCTTAGAGTAAGAACAGATCTGAATTGGAATAAACACATTTTGTTTTACTCTGGCAGGGGAGGAATTGTTGGGTCAGATTTTCCACCAAACAGACCCAACAAAGATGTAAACATTCTTTTACATCATATATATATACACGCAGTGTCTCGCCGAAAGTGTTTGGTGTCCAGATGGAAGTCCCACAGCAATGGCCGACGGTGGTTCAAAGGCCAAGGCAGGGGAGGACACAGCCCTGGACGTGAATCCCAAGATCTGCCAGGGGAGGACACAGCCCTGGACGCGTATCCCAAGATCTGCTGTAGGAGGATGACATCGGCCCTGATTAAGTAGCCAGAAGCCCGATGCAAACAGAAGCAGAAGTTCACCCACAGCATAAACAGAAAGCTGATGGACAGTGGAGAAGCCGCCTCGACAAGAAAGAAAAGGACTTCGAGCATTCGTCTTTGTTAAACCAAACCATCTCTTCACCTCCTTTTTTTTTTTTCTTTCCTTTCTTCCTTCTTTTAATTTTGTATATAACTTGTGACATCACATTTTGATAGATGGGGCATATTTAGTAATATTTTTGGATTTCTTAAAGAAGAAATTAGTATATAAATTTCCCAGAGGGGCAGGCATCTTAAATTTTATTTGATTTCATTGTTAATCTAAATTACCTCTCAATAAGAAAGATATATTTTAAATTTCCGTTAATATTTATTTTATTCTAAATTGATTTCTCATAAGTCGAGCAAGTATATTTACTAATTCATAATTTTTCCTTTAAAATAAAAATATAATAAAATATTATTTTATTCCTTAATTTTTTAAAATATAATAATATTATTATTTTTAATATTCCGAGAATTTTTGTATATTCAAGTTTTATTACTCTGTAGGAAATGATTGAGATTGAGGGCGCTGTAGGGAAAAGACGGCAGTCTAGATTTTAGTTTTTATCGAGCGTCCAACGGGGCTGGGGGCAAGCTTTCGGAAGGAACAGATAGAATTCTTATCAGGAGAGGTATGTAGTCGAGATACTAGGTAAGTCAATTTATTACCAATTACCAAGTCGTAGATTCTCAGTCACTTCTTCATAGGATTTAAAAATTTTGTAAGATGAGATAATCTAATGTCCCAATATCCCTATGCCCACTGATGCTATCCACATATAAAGAATGTTTTCATTTTTGTGTAAAATTTTTCTTATGCCGAATAAAACGAGTGTGGATATTGAACAATGTGTGTTGATATTCATATTTAACCACATATCACATGTAAAACCTTGGTGTGTGTTATAGATTTTGAATGTATGTGTTTAAAATATAATCTACAGTGGTTATTATTCAAAAAAGGCGTATTGTTATTACTATGTATAATAAATTACAAATATGTATGTACCTGGGTTTAACCCCTGAGTTAGCTAGGATCAGGATATAGATGTTCTAATGAGACGTAAGAATAAAACCTTACAACTACAGCACTGCTATAGCGTCTGACTGCAGATCTGCACTGGCCACTATATGTACTCCTGGTCCTGCCCAAACGGCTCTAATTGCGGAGATAATTCTAGCGCTAGACCAAGCACCTCAGGTCAGCCTCTGTTGGCTAAAGGGCCACAGTGGAATTTCAGGCAATGAACTGGCTGACCAGGCAGCAAAGACTGCAGCAATCTCTAACCTGGAACAATCCTACTCCATCATTCCCCAAAGCTTTGCCCGCAGCCGTGCCCACTCATCTGCTCTGGAAGCTTGGACCTTAGTCTACACCCAAGATTACCATAACAGAAAACTAAAAAGATTTGCGACCTCCCCAATCCGCCTTAGGTCATTCCTGTCCAAAATACGTCTTGGGATGGCCACCACTACCATCCTTACCGGTCACGGCCACGTTCTGGCAGATCTCTGGCATAGAGATCCAACATGTCCTCACTGCCTGGAAGAGTCACAGACTGTGGATCACCTCCTCTTCTCCTGTCCAGCTTTTATGCTACACAGGCTACAGACAGCCCTTCTGCTTGGAGTACAAGACTTCAGCCCGACAGCCCTGCCCCTACTTCCTGACTCCCTGCCGGCCTGGAACTACCTGGTTACCTGGTTTACCTCAGCAATCAGCTACCTGAGGTCTTTAAATGTCCCGAGTGTTACAGGATGGTGGGAGTAACCCGCAGTGGTGTCTACAAAAAGCACAACGATCTGGTGAAGCACCTTCGTGTACTACACAAGATCAACAACGTGGTTTTTGACTGCACGGTCTGCCAACAAAGCTTCAAAGACCTGCGGACCTGCAGAAGCGCCAAACACCACCAGGATTGCTCTACGGTTGAAAAACGGGCCCAAAAGAGCGCACCATCTACGAGGATCAAGAAGAAGACACCTGGAAGCAACTCTGCGGCCCTGGAGGAGCCGGAACACTCGACTCAGCCAGCCGCCCAGGAGCCGATTTCTTCCGAGACACCGACAGGACCGCCTGTGGAACTGGACCAACAAAACATTCTCCGCCTTGTAACCCCAAGGAGAATCCTCTGTAAGACCTGTGTGTCTTAAAAGAAACATACAAGCAAAAATACAGCTTAAAATAAAACCTAAAACCATTCTAACAGTGGTAGCATAAAGCGTGGCTATAACTTTGTGCGTCCAGGGTTCTTCGGGTGGAACACCCTGGTGGAGGAAACCTACCTGCGCCTCACTGCATCCGGCACCTCCTTCGCCAAAAGGATTTCCCCCGGGACATTTGCATATTACGCGGGGCTCCACGCCATCGCGAGAGTTCTTGAGCTCTCAGATTTGAGCCCCCGTGGTACCACAGTCCCTGAAAGAGACTTCATCCGCGCAATGAAGCACGCGGGAACCCACAATCCGGAGCCAATCTCCCTATTCCTCTCCGGATTGGGTGACGCCGCGTCTTTAGGCGGAGTGAAATACATCTTCACCATGCCAAGCCTGGAGTATGCCATTGCCAACAACAAGACCCCTGGTTGGTATGGACGTTTTGGCCAGAACACTCACTGGCTGTACATGGCCTACCCATCATCAGGCCCCATGGACACCCAAGACCAGGCTGAGATCTGGGAGGACCTCTCCGGGGATGGAGGAGTCCGCAAGAGAGTGGTGGAGCAGGGCAAGGGATCAGCTACCCCTAGTCTGGGCAATAAACTGGTAGTGGACTACCGGATCTCTCTGCAGGACGGGACCCTGGTGGAGACCAGATCCCAGCTGGAGAAAGGTGAACGCCGGCCCCCTGGCCTACTGCCAGGCCTTCCTGGAGGACTCCCAGGTGGGCCAGTTCCCCTCAGGCCAAGTGGAGGAGCTGAGGGAGGTGTTCCGGAGGTTCCTGGAGGTGAGCGGAGAGGCCCTGGAGCTCAATGGCCAGCTGGTGGGGGTCGAGCAGCTCCAGTACCACGCTGCTCTGAGGACCAACTTCCACGACCTGGCGCAGCATCTGGCCTCCTACCTCCACAAGAGGTGGCCAAGAGACTGGAGGAGAACCAATCTGGAGACAAAGAATCAAGAAGGAGGAGGCGGTCCACCCTTCAATGGAAGAAGCGGTGGTTTTGGCTGTTTTGCCTTTGCTCCTCCAAAGCAGGCCTTGGCAGCAGAAGTGGGAGGATCCGCCGCAAAAGCTGCAGCTAAAGTAGTCGTCAAAAAAGCTGCAGAATTTCTTGGAAATACGTTGAAGAAGATTTTTCAAAGTAAAAAAGAAAAAAACATCCCCCACCAAATTGTCCCCTGGACCATGGATAAATCACAATGTTACATATAAGAATTGTAATATTGGAAGTGCCATTGTCCTCAACATTTGATACAAATGTAGACCTTGAGGCCAACATAAGTAATTAAGGAAATTTGGCTTTCAAACTCAATAATCTAAAACAGAACTTTGATGACAATATTGTTATTTTAGTCACAACTCCGGACAATGCTCCAGGGCTCCAAAGTGCTTCCACTGCGGTGAAGAAGGTCACGAGGGCCGTGCCTGTCCATCCCTAGCCAACCAGCACACCACCAAGTGTGCCAACTGCTGTGCCAAGGGCCTTCCGGACAAACATGAGGCGAGAGCCTCTGGCTGCTCTTTCCTGAGGTCTAGGGCTCTCAAATTCTAGGCTTCCAGGACCTGCTGCCTTCATTGTCCTCACCTACTGGATTTCCTCCCCAGCCAAGACTCCTGCCACTCACTGCTCCCAGACGCTGTTCCCCTGCCATCTCTATGTTTCCTCCACCCCTGCAAGACATCTTTGCTGCCAGATCCTAGGGTCCCTTGCCACTGGAAGTGGCATTCTGCCATAGGGGTTAGAAGACCTTGCTTTAAAAGTCCAATTAACCCGGAATAGAAAGAATCGCTCCTTTTCCAGGTTGGTGTCTTCCCACAATGCACCATCTGCAGGACCACCCCTTGGAATGTATGGGAGCCTCAAGACAGGACTTATATTACAACCCTACCAAGATTATAAATTTAATCCATGAATTTTCAGTCTCCATGACCTTGTATAATCAGATCACCTCATCAGTTTCTCAGAGATCAGTTTCCAGATAGCACTTGCTATGGAAACATCTCTGCCTTTCTGCTCTCCCATCATGGATCCCTCCAAGAAGAAGGCCTCCAAGCCTTTTCAACCCTCGGTGGACATCATGGCTCTGGTGGAGGAGAATAACATGGTCCTCTCCCGCCACTACCAGATCCTGCTCTCTCTCGGCCAGCCCTTCCTCAAATCTTGCACCTTGTCTGCTTCATTGAGCAGCAGACAGAGCTGATCAAGTGCCTGGTAGGGGAGGTGAAGAACCTCGCGGACACCCTCTGTAACTTCATGGAGCTAGATGAAGTCATGGACGCTAACAAGGACACTTTGTGACCACTGTATGCCATGATTCACCCAGAACCCCACCTAACCTAACTATGTCCCACCCTCTCCCCCTCTAAGCGTGAAATGCAGCATGTGCCATCGCCAGGGACATCGGCTAGCCAGCTGCCCCAGGAGAGACAGGGAGGAACGTCCCACTCATCAACAAACACCCAGGCAGGACCTAGCGCACCTTCCTCCTACCACTCAATCGTCATCCTCTGCAGCACTTACCGTGACTCCCCCAGCTGCACTTGGCAAGCCTCAGGAGACCCCCTCCAAAAATATTTCGGCACCCGAGGTGTCCACGCCTGCTACAAGCGTCGCAAATTCACCAGCGGGAAAAATGTCCTTCTCCAGCAAAGTTAGCGAAACTAAATTAGCTGTTCCTACCTTGCCCCTCCCTCCTGTTCCCAGAGCGCAGGAGGAAAGCTCTCGGGAGGAAGAATCACCGAAGAAAATATCCTTGGCTCTTGAGCAGCTGAAGCCAGTCCTTGAGCGACTCCCTGACACCATATTTCAAAGGGAAAACAGTAGGCTGAGGATGCAAAGAATTCGACAGGGAGATAATCTACCTTTGCCAACAGGGACATGTTTCGAGGAAGATCAAATTCCCCTGCACTTTTGTGGCCAACTTGATCAAGTTTGCCCAAAATGTAGAGCAAAGTATTTCGAATTGGAACAAACGACATACAGTAAAACTTTTCATTAATGCTGTTCCAAAGGAAAAGTCAAACTTGAACCGATTCAAACCTCTCAATCCACCTGCTCTAGCCGATCCCGTCCTTGGACGGGCTTTTCTACTAGTATATATATATATATATATATATATATATATCTTATCTACCTTCATTACAAAACTTTTCTCTTTCTTATTATTAGTTTGACTAAAAGTGCATGGTTCTGTCTTTCTCTCTTTTCACTAACTATTCTCACTTCTATTATTCTATATATAGGTTAGAGTATGTCTAAATGATGTGTAAAAGCCGATGCAAAAGACGTTACGTTGTTAAATTTTATTGTTATTAATTATAAATATATAATTAACTGAATGATGTGTTAGAAGTAAAGGATTTTTTTTTCTCTCTCTCTCTCTCTCTACTAAATAATAACAATTTACAAATTTTATAATTTGAATTTAAATACTCAAAATAATAAAGATAATTTTAATACAAAACTAAACCATAAAACTAAACAACTATTTATTGTTATATATATATATATATATATGTTGAGGATGCGGAAGACAAATATAATGTAATTGGTTTTATATAGCTAGCTGGTGGTCTAAATAAATGTAAATGGAATGAAAGGATGTCTGCTGTAGGGGGGAACAATGTTAATGATTGAAGAGGAGCTCACCTGTATGTGAGAAGGCTGTGGCAGGGGAGGCATGAGTCCCGGAGGACCAATTCTGACAGCCAACTGACTGCTGTAGAATGCATCCTTAAACATGCCAAATTCGGCATCGCCAAGGAGCCCAGGATCTGCTGGACAAAGGCCTGGAAGGCCCAGCATCCCACCTCCAACCGGTAGCGAGAATTCAGCGAAAAACGAACTTTATAGAGAAATCTATAAAGAAAACTCTAATACTCAAGAGTATGTAAATCCGCCGGCTAACGGCGGAAATGTAAATCTGGCCGCCGCGCGCGTCGACGTCACGTCCGGCTTAGCGGCAACTTCGTCATCCAATAGCGCTGCCCTTGCTATTAGAAACTGGGCAGATTGTGACGAAGACATGAACCCCGGGACAGACAATGACTTTACTGTCGTGAAGACCAAGAAGAGGCGCCGCGAATCATCGAATTCGCCTACAGCAACTGCACCATCCTCCAACATCGGAGGTGCCAGGAGCAGTCGCCGAACGCAATCATCAGCGCGTTCGGTGCCGCGGGCACAGGAGATCCCGACAACCAGGGCCCACATCGCGGAGGCCAGGGCGCGGCAGGCGTCCTCTGCTGAGGAGCACTGCGTCTACCTGGAACACGGCCCCGAACTGCAGCCCTTCCATTACCTGGGGGCGCTGGACAGGCTACTTGGAGGAACCGCCGGAGTCGTCAAGTCTCCAAGGTAAACGGGCACCAACTCCTGGGGCTGGCAAACAGAGGCCTCGCCGAGCGCCTCATAAACAACGGCCTTGAGGTTGAGGGCACTCTCCTCAGGGCTTTCCCTTTCCGCAAAAGAGCGGAGAGGATAACGGTGGGCAACCTCCCCTTCTTCGTGGAGGACGCAGCCATCATCAACGCCCTTAGGCCCTATGGGCGCACTACATCCATCGCGCCCAAAATGATGAAGGCCGGCCCATACACCTACACCGACAGCAGCCATGAGGCGTTCATCGTCTTCCACGAAGGAGTGACCACCGAGAGGCTCCCCACCCGCCTCGACATCACCATCAAAGGCGAGGCTTGGCCCGCTTATCTGTCCACCGGCATCAAGTGTTCCAGACGCCACGGCCAGGGGCACCTCAGGGCCAACTGCCCCCTACTGGCAGGGCGGGTTAACACCACCAGTTCGGCACCACCAGCCTCCCCTGCCGGCGTCCCACCATCGACCGCCCCTGCACCGCCTCAGAGGCCAACGTCTCAGCATCCAGCACCGGCGCCTCCCTTGGCGATCTCCGGCGCTTCGCCCGCGGCCCGAGCTGCGATCCAACCAGCAGGCGCACCCCGGCCATCACCAACAGCGCCCCCGGCCTCACCTGCGGAGGAGACGCCACCTGCCCCTCCACCTGTGACACCTGCTCCGCCCTTGCGGGCACCTAGGGGTTCCGTAAGACCTCAATCAGCGAAGTCTCGGCCCTCTGCACAGGACATCGAGATGATGACTGCCATCGAGGAGTCCTCCGCTTCCTCAACATCATCAAGCAGGAAATCCTCCACACTATCAACATGGAACACAACAAGAAACAACCTCGATGCGTTCATCGAGATTTTATTTTGTGTGCCATTTTTTTGGTATACTTTTTAATTTAAAAATGGAAATAAATTCTTTGGGTAGAGAAATGTTTCCTATGCTGGAAACACTTATGGGAAATATTTCCACATTCTTAAATGCCAAAAATCCGAAAATGGATGCTCAAAAAAAAGATTTTAAATTTAATTCAAACAGATATGAATGAATTTATAAAATTTTTACCAGAAAATGTAGAAAATATGGCTTTTAATACTAAATTGGATGATTTATTAAAGAATCAAGAAAATATTATTGAAAATATTCAAAAAAACTTTGAAGAAAAAATTGATGATTTAAAAAAATCTACTCAAGACTTAATTAGTGAAAATAATGCTCTAATCGATGAAAAATTGAAAATATTAATGGAAAAAAGTGAGAAAAGTTACAGTGCAGTTTTGGCCTCTAACCTACCAACTGCACCAACCTCCATAGCCCAGCCAAAAAGTTCCCCTAATCTAATTGGAAAAATAGTAATTGAATCAAAACTCCCAGAAAATACCAACATCGTGCAATTCCTTAAAGAAAATATTTCTTTGTCTAATCTAAAAATAATTAGAGCAAATGCTATTCCAAACAAAAAGGGATGCACCATAGAAGTTCCCACAATGGAAAATGTAAACACAATAGTAAAATTCATAAATGAAAATGAACATCTTAGGTCTAAGCTAACTCCAAAAGTCCCCAAAGGTAGGTCTCCTACTATTAAAATATTAAATGTTGAAGAAGATTTTGGCAAAGAACAGATTATAGATTATTTCAAAGAAAGTTTAAATGTAACTAATGCTGATTTAAAACCCTTTAGTGTATATAAAAACCACATCTTACCTTATCTGGATGCCCTCATTTTTAGAAATAGGAATAATTTTCAAACAACTGTCTATTACAAAGACACCGCCAAACCATCATATATCCCGTTTAACTCCTACAGTCCAGTCTCTTACAAAATATCAGTTGTTAAAACCCTAACTAAGAGACTCCATACCCATTGTTCCCTTCGAGCTTTAAAAGAAAAAGAAAAAGAGAATATTTACAATAACCTACGAACATTTGGATACCCACCAGACTTTATAAGAAAACATACATTCATCCCGTTCAAGAAGGTTACCCTCGCGGTCAATAGAATCAGCGAATCAGCGAATAGCCCATGATTTGAGGAAATATGGTATCCAGTTCACCTATCGCAGCACAAGCACAACAGGACATATACTGAGGAACCCCATTACCAAACCAGGAGTTAAACATGATGTTCAACAAAAAAGCAACGCGATTTATTCGGTTGCCTGCAACGATTGTGAATCCGTTTATGTAGGAGAAACAGGCAGAAAAATCGAAAACCGAATCAAAGAACACAAATACAATATCCGCTCAAAAGACCCCAGATCCCTTCTGTACCAACACACGTTAAACACAGGACATAGTTTTGATCTGGATAACCCCATCTGCCATTACAACAACATCAGATACAAAGGGGAAAGATTAATTTTGGAATCCTTGGTTTCTGGTTGTAAAGACAGCATAAACAGAAGAATAGATGTCCCGGAACAGTTCCGCTGCCTTTTTAAAAGAGTTTGAAGAACGAATTCTGCTATGTCCCCTTCCCCTCCGCAGGGCGATGCTCTCGCCGGCCTTATCAAACAAATCTTGGATCTGAGGCCCGGAGCAGGCAGCAATATCTATAAAGTCCTCGGACAGGTCAAGGCTGAGCTGAGGACAACACCAGCCGCAGTGCCTACACCTCCACTGCCTGCGCCTCGGCCTGCTGAGCCAACACCACCCGCTCCCCAGGACATGGAATCGTCACCGGCCATGGCCACACCTCCGCCTCCACAGTCTATACATGTGGAGGACACCCCGGACCTAACCCGTTGGAGGAGGTCGCAGGCCCTTTACGGAAAATTCATGGAGGAAATCGACCTGAAGCCTGTGTCCCATTCAGGGATCGACCACCTCGATCTGGTGGATGCGACCCTAGATCTAAAGGACAGGGTGAGCTTCGTCCCGCGACTCCTGCCCACTGAGAGAACCAATCTGGCCCAACAACTTGGCGTTCTCTTTGCGAGAAAATATCCGGGCTCAGGGCCGCCTTGTCATCCTGACTCTCTCTGAGGAATTTGTAAATAATCTTTCTTAACTCTCCGGAGTGTACTATTGACTAAGATGTCAATAAAGACGTTTTCATTGTCATTGTCTTACCCCAGGTCCAGAACCCCATGGACATCTTCAAGGAGATGGCATGCTACAGGAGCTCACCACTGACCAGGAAGTGTGTGTGAGGGACTACACCAAGCCTGGTGTGGGAGCTGGAAAGGGGCTGGAAAAATTGTTTTAAAAAAAAAAGGCCTATAGACCTCCCTGCCCTTCCTATGGTCTACACACCCCATGTGACCTGCTACACCCCGATGAAAAGAGTCCCTCAGTGAGATGCCAAGAGCCCCTCAGTGATGGAGACAGACCTGTGAGGCTCGACAGATAGCCCGGAGATGACCAGACAATAGATGAGCCTGTGAACCCCATCACAATAACCACCACCAACAGCCTCAACCTTCAACTGAGAAAAAGACCCAGAACCCATCACCCAATAAAGACATCAGGCATGAAATTGTCTTTTGCTCTTTCTGTTTTTTTTTTTTTTATATTAAATATGCGTGTGAAAACAAACTCTTTCTTCAAAAACTCAAAATAGGTAAGAAAAAGGGAACACGAAACAGTGAGAAGTCTAAAGCTACAATAGGTATGGCGGAACAGGTCGAGCCCCATCTTCTATCTCTTCTATCATCACTTCTATTATTCTATATATAAATTAGAGTATGTCTAAATGACGGGTAACAGCCGATTGCAAAAGACGTTACGTTGTTAAATTTTATTGTTATTAATTATAAATATATATGGATGATGCGTAAGAAGTAAAGAATTTTTTTTTTCTCTCTCTATTAAATAATAACAATTTACAAATTTTATAATTTGAATTTAAATAATCAAAGTAATAAAGATAATTTTAATACAAAACTAAACTATAAAACTAAACAACTATTTATTTTTATATATATATATAAATATATGTCATAATTTGTACATAGCTAGATGCAAACCCGACCCAATATGTATGAAATGTATGTTTCAAGTTTTAATAAAGAACAAGGCTTAACCAAATTGGAGAGAGAAGGCCTAGAGAAAGAATGATCATTAACAGGTTTTTATTATCCCGGAACTCGTAAAAGTTAAGAGTTCAACAACTTAGCACTTCCTGGTCAGGTCAGAACACGTCCAAATACAAAGAGTTAAAACGGACCAATCACAGAGCAGCTCATTTAGCTTCGAGCCTATAGCAGACTTCCACGTCACGCAGGTCAACCAATGAGAAGGAAGAAGAGCTTTCGTTTTAAATCGAGAACACAGAATTGTCAGAAGGAACTTGGATCCCACCGAGGTAGCACCTAGAGTAGTTAGCTGGACACCACCGAGTTAGCACCTGGCACTTTGGAGTCATTCTCACCGCCTCAACCTATCAGATAAGTCAAATATTCCATCATGTAATTGAACAGTCAATAATTAATCCGCTCAACCTTTCAAGCCCTTCTCTCCCTCGATTCAGTTGCCTTTATTTCAACCACCAATTATGTACTCTCGACTACTTTCCCCTGTTGTGAACACCTGTCCACTCAGCACCACGACTGCGCCAACACCTCAACAATTATCAATCAACTTCCAAGAGTAATATTCACCCCGTATATTACAGTAAGTCGACAGGATTATGACGGAAAGACGAGAGCAATCGACGAACGGCAAGGACAAGAAGCTGGCGGAGAGAAAAGCGACAAGACGCACTCTGGCGGCCATTATATGGCAGTTGACGGTTGCCCTCCAAGAAGCGAGGTCTACCCGACGAGACGAGGACCGGAGCTCCACCCGCGGGAGAGATGACGCCCACGCCGCCGCCACAGGCAGAGAGATGGACGGGCTTACCGCCAGCACGTGTCCGAACAACCTGACGCCCACCGAGGAGTCACCACCCGCCATGCCGTATCCATACCCCAGTACCCGGAAAAACGCAAGTAAATAGACTGTACCACCCCAACAAACTCAACATTCAAACAAAAGGACAGTGCAAATGGTCCGAAATCAATCCATTTGAGTTTTGTATCTTTGTTTTTTTCAAGCTCCCCAACGCCGGCAAAACACCGAAGGAGATCAGCCTTCCCGCAGTCGCTAGGGGCCAAATCATGGCAAGACTTCGGCAGGCCCTCCAAACCTGAAAACCCTAATTAAAAAGTCTGATCAGGGAAAAGTCAACGAGGTCACCTGTCGAAACAAGTCTTCCAATGGCTTCATCAATCCTTTAGTCCTTTGATGGAATAACCCCAGGATTTTGGTCCCTCCGGACCCCCTTGGAACTTGCTCCACCCTCGCCGCAGGTTGGCCTGGTATTGCACCACCCCAAGAATGGACCAGCCGCCTGCCCCAGTGTATCCCCAAGCCCCAGAGGAACTCCAAGACGCCCACGAGCAACCCCCAAAAGCTACAGAGGGCGGCTCACCCTCCAACGTGGGAACCACCTTCACATTTGGGTGAGTACCTGGTTCGAGGCGGCTCTAAAGGTAAGTCGGACATTTTTGGCGCCGTTGGGTCGCCTGGCACTTCTGCTGGGCCCTGTTCGCGAGACAGTGCTTCTGGTGGGATTTCCACATCGCCAAGTCTCGCCTTGAGTTTAGCCATCCTATTGCGCATGTTTCTGCACACATTGTTGTGTCACGTGACCAGGTTTGTTTACCTCCTGGTAATAACAACCAGGTCGCTGATGCACACTGTGTAACACAAACACGATGCTCTGGTGGTAAGCCCGTCTGACACCACACGCCTACCAGGTTCTCACACAAATGTGACACATGTACACAACCTTGCCCCCGCTCTTTGTGATCCGTTTAGGATGACGTTCCAGCTACCTGAGGTCTTTAAATGTCCCGAGTGTTACAGGATGGCGGGAATAACCCGCAGTGGTGTCTACAAGCAGCACAACGATCAGGTGAAGCACCTTCGTGTTCTACACAAGATCAACAACGTGGTTTTTGACTGCACGGTCTGCCAACAAAGCTTCAAAGACCTGCAGAAACACCACCAGAATTGCTCTACGGTTGAAAAACTGGCCCAAAAGAGCGCACCATCTACGAGGAGCAAGAAGACACCTGGAAGCGACACCGCGGCCCTGGAGGAGCCAGAACACTCGACTTCCTTAAAGAAAATATTTCTTTGTCTAATCTAAAAATAATTAGAGCAAATGCTATTCCAAACAAAAAGGGATGCACCATAGAAGTTCCCACAATGGAAAATGTAAACACAATAGTAAAATTCATAAATGAAAATGAACATCTTAGGTCTAAGCTAACTCCAAAAGTCCCCAAAGGTAGGTCTCCTACTATTAAAATATTAAATGTTGAAGAAGATTTTGGCAAAGAACAGATTATAGATTATTTCAAAGAAAGTTTAAATGTAACTAATTCTGATTTGAAACCCTTTAGTGTATATAAAAATAAATTTAACAAATATGATTGGCTTATAAATATTGATTCAAACACATTTTCACAATTGAAAAATAGATCAACAATTGAAAATAATTTACACAGATTTAGATATGGATGGAGAATTATCAAATGGACGGAAATTTTTCTTGTTAATAGATGCACTAAATGTCTTGATTTTCATAAATCTAAAAACTGTAAAGAATCAGAAAACACTTGTGCGAAATGTTGTAGCAAGGGCCACATTTCCAAATCATGTACAAAAACAGAAAATTGTATAAACTGTAAAAAAGCTAATAGTAAAAACCCTACACTTAAATTGAACACACAACATAATGCTTTCAGTATAGACTGCCCTTGCTATATACATAGAATTAATTTATTGAAAAAAGATATTCTTTATATATAATTTGTTATTTAAAATATTTTATTATGTCTTTTCTTTACTTAATTATTTTTTCTTTATTTTTGTCCTTATTTACTCATTTATTTATTATTTCACAATCAAATTTTGAAAATGGCAAAATGGCTCCACTTCTCCCTTGCTTTTTTATATACATGTTTGTTACACATTTAGCAATATATATACCAAAACATTTTTTAGAATATTTAACTCTTTTAGTGAATTTTTGTCAGGGGGGCTGCAAAAATGCCGTATTTTTGCAATATTTGGATGCATTTTTTTGTAAAAAAAAATATTAGGACTTAGAATTAAGCTTTGTTCTTTTATGTACATGTTATTTATACCCTTTGCTGGGATGGACGCCCTGGTCTTGGGCGGGAGGAGGTCCTAGACCTCCTCTCCTCGAGGACCAAGGCGCAGAAGCATGGACCCCTCCTGTCACCTCCGCAGGGCGATGCTCTCGCCGGCCTTATCAAACAAATCTTGGATCTGAGGCCCGGAGCAGGCAGCAATATCTATAAAGTCCTCGGACAGGTCAAGGCTGAGCTGAGGACAACACCAGCCGCAGTGCCTACACCTCCACTGCCTGCGCCTCGGCCTGCTGAGCCAACACCACCCGCTCCCCAGGACATGGAATCGTCACCGGCCATGGCCACACCTCCGCCTCCACAGTCTATACATGTGGAGGACACCCCGGACCTAACCCGTTGGAGGAGGTCGCAGGCCCTTTACGGAAAATTCATGGAGGAAATCGACCTGAAGCCTGTGTCCCATTCAGGCATCGACCACCTCGATCTGGTGGATGCGACCCTAGATCTAAAGGACAGGGTGAGCTTCGTCCCGCGACTCCGGCCCACTGAGAGAACCAATCTGGCCCAACAACTTGGCGCTCTCTTAGAGCGCGCCCTGGACCTGGATCCTTCTCTTTGCGAGAAAATATCCGGGCTCAGGGCCGCCTTGTCATTCTGACTCTCTCTGAGGAATTTGTAAATAGTCTTTCTTAACTCTCCGGAGTGTACTATTGACTAAGATGTCAATAAAGACGTTTTCATTGTCATTGTCTTACCCCAGGTCCAGAACCCCATGGACATCTTCAAGGAGATGGCATACTACAGGAGCTCACCACTGACCAGGAAGTGTGTGTGAGGGACTACACCAAGCCTGGTGTGGGAGCTGGAAAGGGGCTGGAAAAATTGTTTTAAAAAAAAAGGCCTATAGACCTCCCTGCCCTTCCTATGGTCTACACACCCCATGTGACCTGCTACACCCCGATGAAAAGAGTCCCTCAGTGAGATGCCAAGAGCCCCTCAGTGATGGAGACAGACCTGTGAGGCTCGACAGATAGCCCGGAGATGACCAGACAATAGATGAGCCTGTGAACCCCATCACAATAACCACCACCAACAGCCTCAACCTTCAACTGAGAAAAAGACCCAGAACCCATCACCCAATAAAGACATCAGGCATGAAATTGTCTTTTGCTCTTTCTGTTTTTTTTTTTTTTTATTAAATATGCGTGTGAAAACAAACTCTTTCTTCAAAAACTCAAAATAGGTAAGAAAAAGGGAACACGAAACAGTGAGAAGTCTAAAGCTACAATAGGTATGGCGGAACAGGTCCCCGCCCCGTTCGACACCTTAGAGTCTGTGCAGCAGGCACAGACATACTTGGTAATCACGGTAGAGGTGTCTCTGTAGCCTTCACCAACTTCCCTTCAGGGCTCACAAATGAAATCAACGTTGCCCCGTTCCTGCTGGAGGCAAACACTGCAACAGAGTTTAAGGCGGCAGATGCAGCAGGTGCACGCCTAATGGGATCTGTCCTTGGGCAGGCAGCACCACAGGCTCTGGAGATGTACCTGATGTCAAAGAAAGTTGTGACTCAGTCTGTTGCCTTCATGGTAAACAATCCAAATGTTGAGCTGCTAAACAGCTCATACGACACCTTCCTAGAACCTGATGCTGAGCTGACCAACACTGCCCTGCTTGTGACCTACCATACTGCATGCCAGCAGTTTAGAGAGGCCATAGGAATAACAAACCTTGCCGGCATGCAGACCCTGACTGGCAGTGTTGCCAACACCCTCCAAGCAGGTGCCAGTGTAGCTGAGCTGCAGCACATGCTGGCAATGATGATCAGGCAGAGAGGTGCCAGGCTTGGCAAGACAACTAGCAACGAGAAGCCACCTCATGTGGATGAGGTTGTGCTTGCCCTCCGATCAGAAGACCCAATCTTCCCCTTCGCAGAAATTCACCTTAGTGTTTGTCCTATTCATGTTATTTGGTCAATTATCATTTGAGTCCGTAGCCAATTGGTATGCAGTGTTATTTTTAAGCTCATAAGTTGAATTGATTTATTGATATTTTAACGGCAAGGGGCGCCACATTTAATGGCTTATAGAAATTGGACAAGTGTAATGAAGATTATATTTTACTAGCGGATGTTTTATATTAGATGTTTTTTGAGGCGCGCGCTTCAACCAATATAAATTTGTATATATAAATAAATATTGAAATATTAATATTTTAAAGGCGCACGCGCCTTATTCAATATATATTTCCAAATTTCAAATTAAGATATTTAAATATATATATTTTTTTTTTTTAATTTTAAATATTTTTTTTTTATCAATGCTATTTATATATATATTTTTTAATCTGTCTTTAAAATGTTTATTGCGCTCATCTTTTTATTTTCCCTCTCTTTCATATTATTAATTATTTTACATCTTTCTGTTCAAAAAAGTTTGTTAATAAAAAACACCAAAGATAATTTTATGCATCTTGAAAAGATCAGAGCAGACAACAATATTATGTTATTAGCGGCAATGAAAGAACCCCTTTCGGAGATTGAAGAAACTCCCGCCGAATTTTACGAAGAAATCATCCTACATTCCCCATCCACAGACAACGATATTATGTTATTAGCGGCAATGGAAGAACCCTTTTCGGAGAATGAAGAAACTCCCGCCGATTTTTGCGAAGAAATCATCCTACATTCACCATCCACAGACAACGATATTATGTTATTAGCGGCAATGGAAGAACCCCTTTCAGAGATTGAAGAAACTCCCGCCGAATTTTACGAAGAAATCATCCTAAATTCCCAATCCACAGACAACGATATTATGTTATTAGGGGCAATGGAAGAACCCCTTTCGGAGATTAAAGAAACTCCCGCCGAATTTTACGAAGAAATCATCCTAAATTCCCCATCCACAGACAACGATATTATGTTATTAGCGGCAATGGAAGAACCCCTTTCGGAGATTAAAGAAACTACCGCCGAATTTTACGAAGAAACCATCCTAAATTCCCCATCCACAGACAACGATATTATGTTATTAGCGGCAATGGAAGAACCCCTTTCGGAGATTGAAGAAACTCCCGCCAAATTTTACGAAGAAATCATCCTAAATTCCCAAACAACGGACAACGATATTATGTTATTAGCGGCAATGGAAGAACCCCTTTCGGAGATTGAAGAAACTCCCGCCGAATTTTGCGAAGAAATCATCCTACATTCACCATCCACAGACAACGATATTATGTTATTAGCGGCAATGGAAGAACCCCTTTCGGAGATTGAAGAAACTCCCGCCGAATTTTACGAAGAAATCATCCTAAATTCACAAACAACGGACAACTATATTATGTTATTAGCGGCAATGGAAGAACCCCTTTCGGAGATTGAAGAAACTCCCGCCGAATTTTACGAAGAAATCATCCTACATTCTCCATCCACAGACAACGATATTATGTTATTAGCGGCAATGGAAGAACCCTTTTCGGAGAATGAAGAAACTCCCGCCGAATTTTGCGAAGAAATCATCCTACATTCACCATCCACAGACAACGATATTATGTTATTAGCGGCAATGGAAGAACCCCTTTCGGAGATTGAAGAAACTCCCGCCGAATTTTACGAAGAAATCATCCTAAATTCCCAAACAACGGACAACGATATTATGTTATTAGCGGCAATGGAAGAACCCCTTTCGGAGATTGAAGAAACTCCCGCCGAATTTTACGAAGAAATCATCCTACATTCCCCATCCACAGACAACGATATTATGTTATTAGCGGCAATGGAAGAACTCTTTTCTGAGAATGAAGAAACTCCCGCCGAATTTTGCGAAGAAATCATCCTACATTCACCATCCACAGACAACGATATTATGTTATTAGCGGCAATGGAAGAACCCCTTTCGGAGATTGAAGAAACTCCCGCCGAATTTTACGAAGAAACCATCCTAAATTCCCCATCCACAGACAACGATATTATGTTATTAGCGGCAATGGAAGAACCCTTTTCGGAGAATGAAGAAACTCCCGCCGAATTTTACGAAGAAACCATCCTAAATTCCCCATCCACAGACAACGATATTATGTTATTAGCGGCAATGGAAGAACCCCTTTCGGAGATTGAAGAAACTCCCGCCGAATTTTACGAAGAAATCATCCTAAATTCCCAATCCACAGACAACGATATTATGTTATTAGGGGCAATGGAAGAACCCCTTTCGGAGATTAAAGAAACTCCCGCCGAATTTTACGAAGAAATCATCCTAAATTCCCCATCCACAGACAACGATATTATGTTATTAGCGGCAATGGAAGAACCCCTTTCGGAGATTAAAGAAACTACCGCCGAATTTTACGAAGAAACCATCCTAAATTCCCCATCCAGAGACAACGATATTATGTTATTAGCGGCAATGGAAGAACCCCTTTCGGAGATTGAAGAAACTCCCGCCGAATTTTACGAAGAAATCATCCTAAATTCCCAAACAACGGACAACGATATTATGTTATTAGCGGCAATGGAAGAACCCCTTTCGGAGATTGAAGAAACTCCCGCCGAATTTTGCGAAGAAATCATCCTACATTCACCATCCACAGACAACGATATTATGTTATTAGCGGCAATGGAAGAACCCCTTTCGGAGATTGAAGAAACTCCCGCCGAATTTTACGAAGAAATCATCCTAAATTCACAAACAATGGACAACTATATTATGTTATTAGCGGCAATTGAAGAACCCCTTTCGGAGATTGAAGAAACTCCAGCCGAATTTTACGAAGAAATCATCCTACATTCCCCATCCACAGACAACGATATTATGTTATTAGCGGCAATGGAAGAACCCTTTTCGGAGAATGAAGAAACTCCCGCCGATTTTTGCGAAGAAATCATCCTACATTCACCATCCACAGACAACGATATTATGTTATTAGCGGCAATGGAAGAACCCCTTTCGGAGATTGAAGAAACTCCCGCCGAATTTTACGAAGAAATCATCCTAAATTCCCAATCCACAGACAACGATATTATGTTATTAGGGGCAATGGAAGAACCCCTTTCGGAGATTAAAGAAACTCCCGCCGAATTTTACGAAGAAATCATCCTAAATTCCCCATCCACAGACAACGATATTATGTTATTAGCGGCAATGGAAGAACCCCTTTCGGAGATTAAAGAAACTACCGCCGAATTTTACGAAGAAACCATCCTAAATTCCCCATCCACAGACAACGATATTATGTTATTAGCGGCAATGGAAGAACCCCTTTCGGAGATTGAAGAAACTCCCGCCGAATTTTACGAAGAAATCATCCTAAATTCCCAAACAACGGACAACGATATTATGTTATTAGCGGCAATGGAAGAACCCCTTTCGGAGATTGAAGAAACTCCCGCCGAATTTTGCGAAGAAATCATCCTACATTCACCATCCACAGACAACGATATTATGTTATTAGCGGCAATGGAAGAACCCCTTTCGGAGATTGAAGAAACTCCCGCCGAATTTTACGAAGAAATCATCCTAAATTCACAAACAACGGACAACTATATTATGTTATTAGCGGCAATGGAAGAACCCCTTTCGGAGATTGAAGAAACTCCCGCCGAATTTTACGAAGAAATCATCCTACATTCCCCATCCACAGACAACGATATTATGTTATTAGCGGCAATGGAAGAACCCTTTTCGGAGAATGAAGAAACTCCCGCCGAATTTTACGAAGAAACCATCCTAAATTCCCCATCCACAGACAACGATATTATGTTATTAGCGGCAATGGAAGAACCCCTTTCGGAGATTGAAGAAACTCCCGCCGAATTTTACGAAGAAATCATCCTACATTCCCCATCCGCAGACAACGATATTATGTTATTAGCGGCAATGGAAGAACCCTTTTCGGAGAATGAAGAAACTCCCGCCGAATTTTGCGAAGAAATCATCCTACATTCACCATCCACAGACAACGATATTATGTTATTAGCGGCAATGGAAGAACTCTTTTCTGAGAATGAAGAAACTCCCGCCGAATTTTGCGAAGAAATCATCCTACATTCACCATCCACAGACAACGATATTATGTTATTAGCGGCAATGGAAGAACCCCTTTCGGAGATTGAAGAAACTCCCGCCGAATTTTACGAAGAAACCATCCTAAATTCCCCATCCACAGACAACGATATTATGTTATTAGCGGCAATGGAAGAACCCTTTTCGGAGAATGAAGAAACTCCCGCCGAATTTCACGAAGAAACCATCCTAAATTCCCCATCCACAGACAACGATATTATGTTATTAGCAGCAATGGAAGAACCCCTTTCGGAGATTGAAGAAACTCCCGCCGAATTTTACGAAGAAATCATCCTAAATTCCCAATCCACAGACAACGATATTATGTTATTAGGGGCAATGGAAGAACCCCTTTCGGAGATTAAAGAAACTCCCGCCGAATTTTACGAAGAAATCATCCTAAATTCCCCATCCACAGACAACGATATTATGTTATTAGGGGCAATGGAAGAACCCCTTTCGGAGATTAAAGAAACTACCGCCGAATTTTACGAAGAAACCATCCTAAATTCCCCATCCACAGACAACGAAAAATATTACTAAATGATACCTTCTAAAAAGGAAAAGAAAGTTTTTCGAAATGCAATTTTTGTGGTTTTAGCTTAAATGTTAAACCAAAAACGCCAACTTCAAAGACACATTAATCGGGTACAAAACAACAAAATTACAAATTAACGTGTAAAATTATTAACCAATCAAATTCATTTACCGTCGCGACCAGTGCGCCGCCAAGCGGTAAAAGGCTTGAACTAAGGAATTTTTTTTTTTTTTTTTTTTTTTAATAGCAGTCTTCAAATAGAGACCACCAACAGGAGAAACAAGCTGAGTCATGTTTGTAGGCACAATTTGGATTATATATTATAAACACAAGGTAACAAATAAATAAATAGTGTGTGGCACAATTTGGATACACAAGATATTAAGACCAAATCTAACGATAAGGCACAATTTTATTAAGCGGTAAAAGGCTTAAACTAAGGAATTTTGGTTTTTTTTTTTTTTTTTTTAAATAGCACATACCTACATGCGATAACAAACATCGATTTTGCATTTCATTTTTATAGGGATTGGTTGACGCCTCAAAAAACATCAATGCAACGAAATATAAAAGGCTAAAGAGTAATTAGCCATAAACCATCCAGGTTTGTTCTTATTACCTTCTCTTTCTAATCAATAATCCAAATTATGTCTTATCATTAGGTCTTATTACCTTGTGTTTATTAATCTATAATCCAAATTGTGCCACACACTATTTATTTATTTGTTACCTTCTGTTTCTAATCTATATTCCAAATTGTACCTCCATGACAGAGGCCAGGAAACACGGCCGCGACAATATATGTTGGTACAGTAATTAAAATGTTGAATTTAATATATTTAAATACTTAAAAACGTTGGTCTCATTGAAGATTCTAATTGCTATTAAAAAATCTCTAATAGACCTTTAAAAAGACTCTTGGAGAGACGGGTTAAGCTACGAAAGTCAAAATAAAAACCAAAAAAAGACTTACCGTGGATGTGACTCTTGCGAAACGTCCCGCTCTAAACTATACATGTACATTAGGTCATCTGACCTCCCATCTTCGCCGCCAGAGATTTTTTAAATAGCAGTCTTCAAAGAGAGACCACCAACAGGAGAAACAAGCTGAGTCATGTTTGTATGCACAATTTGGATTATATATTATAAACACAAGGTACCAAATAAATAAATAGTGTGTGGCACAATTTGGATTATTAAACACAAGATATTAAGACCAAATCTAACGATAAGGCACAATTTGGATTAAAGATTATAAACACCAAATAAATAAATAGTGTGTGATGAGGAAACACGAAGCCGCACAGCTAACTATTAAGCTACGCTTTGCTGCATTCCCATGTAAAATAAATAAATTGAAATAGAGTGAACACAAATTAAAAAACATGGATCCTTCTCTTTGCGAGAAAATATCCGGGCTCAGGGCCGCCTTGTCATCCTGACTCTCTCTGAGGAATTTGTAAATAGTCTTTCTTAACTCTCCGGAGTGTACTATTGACTAAGATGTCAATAAAGACGTTTTCATTGTCATTGTCTTACCCCAGGTCCAGAACCCCATGGACATCTTCAAGGAGATGGCATACTACAGGAGCTCACCACTGACCAGGAAGTGTGTGTGAGGGACTACACCAAGCCTGGTGTGGGAGCTGGAAAGGGGCTGGAAAAATTGTTTTAAAAAAAAAGGCCTATAGACCTCCCTGCCCTTCCTATGGTCTACACACCCCATGTGACCTGCTACACCCCGATGAAAAGAGTCCCTCAGTGAGATGCCAAGAGCCCCTCAGTGATGGAGACAGACCTGTGAGGCTCGACAGATAGCCCGGAGATGACCAGACAATAGATGAGCCTGTGAACCCCATCACAATAACCACCACCAACAGCCTCAACCTTCAACTGAGAAAAAGACCCAGAACCCATCACCCAATAAACACATCAGGCATGAAATTGTCTTTTGCTCTTTCTGTTTTTTTTTTTTTATTAAATATGCGTGTGAAAACAAACTCTTTCTTCAAAAACTCAAAATAGGTAAGAAAAAGGGAGGCGGTCCACCCTTCAATGGAAGAAGCGGTGGTTTTGGCTGTTTTGCCTTTGCTCCTCCAAAGCAGGCCTTGGCAGCAGAAGTGGGAGGATCCGCCGCAAAAGCTGCAGCTAAAGTAGTCGTCAAAAAAGCTGCAGAATTTCTTGGAAATACGTTGAAGAAGATTTTTCAAAGTAAAAAAGAAAAAACATCCCCCACCAAATTGTCCCCTGGACCATGGATAAATCACAATGTTACATATAAGAATTGTAATATTGGAAGTGCCATTGTCCTCAACATTTGATACAAATGTAGACCTTGAGGCCAACATAAGTAATTAAGGAAATTTGGCTTTCAAACTCAATAATCTAAAACAGAACTTTGATGACAATATTGTTATTTTGGTCACAACTCCGGACAATGCTCCAGGGCTCCAAAGTGCTTCCACTGCGGTGAAGAAGGTCACGAGGGCCGTGCCTGTCCATCCCTAGCCAACCAGCACACCACCAAGTGTGCCAACTGCTGTGCCAAGGGCCTTCCGGACAAACATGAGGCGAGAGCCTCTGGCTGCTCTTTCCTGAGGTCTAGGGCTCTCAAATTCTAGGCTTCCAGGACCTGCTGCCTTCATTGTCCTCACCTACTGGATTTCCTCCCCAGCCAAGACTCCTGCCACTAACTGCTACCAGACGCTGTTCCCCTGCCATCTCTATGTTTCCTCCACCCCTGCAAGACATCTTTGCTGCCAGATCCTAGGGTCCCTTGCCACTGGAAGTGGCATTCTGCCATAGGGGTTAGAAGACCTTGCTTTAAAAGTCCAATTAACCCGGAATAGAAAGAATCGCTCCTTTTCCAGGTTGGTGTCTTCCCACAATGCACCATCTGCAGGACCACCTCTTGGAATGTATGGGAGCCTCAAGACAGGACTTATATTACAACCCTACCAAGATTATAAATTTAATCCATGAATTTTCAGTCTCCATGACCTTGTATAATCAGATCACCTCATCAGTTTCTCAGAGATCAGTTTCCAGATAGCACTTGCTATGGAAACATCTCTTCCTTTCTGCTCTCCCATCATGGATCCCTCCAAGAAGAAGGCCTCCAAGCCTTTTCAACCCTCGGTGGACATCATGGCTCTGGTGGAGGAGAATAACATGGTCCTCTCCCGCCACTACCAGATCCTGCACTCTCTCGGCCAGCCCTTCCTCAAATCTTGCACCTTGTCTGCTTCATTGAGCAGCGGACAGAGCTGATCAAGTGCCTGGTAGGGGAGGTGAAGAACCTCGCGGACACCCTCTGTAACTTCATGGAGCTAGATGAAGTCATGGACGCTAACAAGGACACTTTGTGACCACTGTATGCCATGATTCACCCAGAACCCCACCTAACCTAACTATGTCCCACCCTCTCCCCCTCTAAGCGTGAAATGCAGCATGTGCCATCGCCAGGGACATCGGCTAGCCAGCTGCCCCAGGAGAGACAGGGAGGAACGTCCCACTCATCAACAAACACCCAGGCAGGACCTAGCGCACCTTCCTCCTACCACTCAATCGTCATCCTCTGCAGCACTTACCGTGACTCCCCCAGCTGCACTTGGCAAGCCTCAGGAGACCCCCTCCAAAAATATTTCGGCACCCGAGGTGTCCACTCCCGTCCAACCAACGCCTGCTACAAGCGTCGCAAATTCACCAGCGGGAAAAATGTCCTTCTCCAGCAAAGTTAGCGAAACTAAATTAGCTGTTCCTACCTTGCCCCTCCCTCCTGTTCCCAGAGCGCAGGAGGAAAGCTCTCGGGAGGAAGAATCACCGAAGAAAATATCCTTGGCTCTTGAGCAGCTGAAGCCAGTCCTTGAGCGACTCCCTGACACCATATTTCAAAGGGAAAACAGTAGGCTGAGGATGCAAAGAATTCGACAGGGAGATAATCTACCTTTGCCAACAGGGACATGTTTCGAGGAAGATCAAATTCCCCTGCACTTTTGTGGCCAACTTGATCAAGTTTGCCCAAAATGTAGAGCAAAGTATTTCGAATTGGAACAAACGACATACAGTAAAACTTTTCATTAATGCTGTTCCAAAGGAAAAGTCAAACTTGAACCGATTTAAACCTCTCAATCCACCTGCTCTAGCCGATCCCGTCCTTGGACGGGCTTTTCTACTAGTATATATATATATATATATATATATATATCTTATCTACCTTCTTTACAAAACTTTTCTCTTTCTTATTATTAGTTTGACTAAAAGTGCATGGTTCTGTCTTTCTCTCTTTTCACTAACTATTCTCACTTCTATTATTCTATATATAGGTTAGAGTATGTCTAAATGACGTGTAAAAGCCGATGCAAAAGACGTTACGTTGTTAAATTTTATTGTTATTAATTATAAATATATAATTAACTGAATGATGTGTTAGAAGTAAAGGATTTTTTATTCTCTCTCTCTCTCTCTACTAAATAATAACAATTTACAAATTTTATAATTTGAATTTAAATACTCAAAATAATAAAGATAATTTTAATACAAAACTAAACCATAAAACTAAACAACTATTTATTGTTATATATATATATATATATGTTGAGGATGCGGAAGACAAATATATTGTAATTGGTTTTATATAGCTAGCTGGTGGTCTAAATAAATGTAAATGGAATGAAAGGATGTCTGCTGTAGGGGGGAACAATGTTAATGATTGAAGAGGAGCTCACCTGTATGTGAGAATGCTGTGGCAGGGGAGGCATGAGTCCCGGAGGACCAATTCTGACAGCCAACTGACTGCTGTAGAATACATCCTTAAACATGCCAAATTCGGCATCGCCAAGGAGCCCAGGATCTGCTGGACAAAGGCCTGGAAGGCCCAGCATCCCACCTCCAACCGGTAGCGAGAATTCAGCGAAAAACAAACTTTATAGAGAAATCTATAAAGAAAACTCTAATACTCAAGAGTATGTATATCTGCCGGCTGACGGCGGAAATGTAAATCTGGCCGCCGCGCGCGTCGACATCACGTCCGGCTTAGCGGCAACTTCGTCATCCAATAGCGCTGCCCTTGCTATTAGAAACTGGGCAGATTGTGACGAAGACATGAACCCCGGGACAGACAATGACTTTACTGTCGTGAAGACCAAGAAGAGGCGCCGCAAATCATCGAATTCGCCTACAGCCGCTGCACCATCCTCCAACATCGGAGGTGCCAGGAGCAGTCGCCGAACGCAATCATCAGCGCGTTCGGTGCCGCGGGCACAGGAGATCCCGACAACCAGGGCCCACATCGCGGAGGCCCGGGCGCGACAAACGTCCTCTGCTGAGGAGCACTGCGTCTACCTGGAACACGGCCCCGAACTGCAGCCCTTCCATTACCTGGGGGCGCTGGACAGGCTACTTGGAGGAACCGCCGGAGTCGTCAAGTCTCCAAGGTAAACGGCCACCAACTCCTGGGGCTGGCCAACAGAGGCCTCGCCGAGCGCCTCATAAACAACGGCCTTGAGGTTGAGGGCACTCTCCTCAGGGCTTTCCCTTTCCGCAAAAGAGCGGAGAGGATAACGGTGGGCAACCTCCCCTTCTTCGTGGAGGACGCAGCCATCATCAACGCCCTTAGGCCCTATGGGCGCACTACATCCATCACGCCCAAAATGATGAAGGCCGGCCCATACACCTACACCGACAGCCGCCATGAGGCGTTCATCGTCTTCCACGAAGGAGTGACCACCGAGAGGCTCCCCACCCGCCTCGACATCACCATCAAAGGCGAGGCTTGGCCCGCTTATCTGTCCACCGGCATCAAGTGTTCCAGATGCCACGGCCAGGGGCACCGCAGGGCCAACTGCCCCCTGCTGGCAGGGCGGGTTAACACCACCAGTTCGGCACCACCAGCCTCCCCTGCCGGCGTCCCACCATCGACCGCCCCTGCACCGCCTCAGAGGCCAACGTCTCAGCATCCAGCACCGGCGCCTCCCTTGGAGATCTCCGGCGCTTCGCCCGCGGCCCGAGCTGCGATCCAACCAGCAGGCGCACCCCGGCCATCACCAACAGCGCCCCCGGCCTCACCTGCGGAGGAGACGCCACCTGCCCCTCCACCTGTGACACCTGCTCCGCCCTTGCGGGCACCTAGGGGTTCCGTAAGCCCTCAATCAGCAAAGTCTCGGCCCTCTGCACAGGACATCGAGATGACTGCCATCGAGGAGTCCTCCGCTTCCTCAACATCATCAAGCAGGAAATCCTCCACACTATCAACACGGAACGCAACAAGAAACGACCTCGATGCGTTCATCGAGATTTTATTTTGTGTGCCATTTTTTTGGTATACTTTTTAATTTAAAAATGGAAATAAATTCTTTGGGTAGAGAAATGTTTCCTATGCTGGAAACACTTATGGGAAATATTTCCACATTCTTAAATGCCAAAAATCCGAAAATGGATGCTCAAAAAAAGATTTTAAATTTAATTCAAACAGATATGAATGAATTTATAAAAGTTTTACCAGAAAATGTAGAAAATATGGCTTTTAATACTAAATTGGATGATTTATTAAAGAATCAAGAAAATATTATTGAAAATATTCAAAAAAACTTTGAAGAAAAAATTGATGATTTAAAAAAATCTACTCAAGACTTAATTAGTGAAAATAATGCTCTTATCGATGAAAAATTGAAAATATTAATGGAAAAAAGTGAGAAAAGTTACAGTGCAGTTTTGGCCTCTAACCTACCAACTGCACCAACCTCCATAGCCCAGCCAAAAAGTTCCCCTAATCTAATTGGAAAAATAGTAATTGAATCAAAACTCCCAGAAAATACCAACATCGTGCAATTCCTTAAAGAAAATATTTCTTTGTCTAATCTAAAAATAATTAGAGCAAATGCTATTCCAAACAAAAAGGGATGCACCATAGAAGTTCCCACAATGGAAAATGTAAACACAATAGTTTTTTTTTTTTGCTTATCCCTAGTACACGTGGTACAGGCCATGATTATCATGGTGGGTAGTTAGCGACTGCTTTTACTGTAAGCGCACCACATGTCTACACATGTGAAAAGCAGTTCGACTTTGCACTTACAAATGCCAGAGCCCCGTTTGGTTACTTGCACTCGCTGGTGGGGTTGGACTTTTGCAAGAATCGGGGGCCATTGGAGCATTTTTTTTTATTTTTTTTTTAACAGAAAAAAAGTGCCCAATGCGGGAATCAAACCCGGGTCCTAGTGGTCGAAAACCAAACAGTTTACCCAGCCTTCCACCGACCCCCAAACACAATAGTAAAATTCATAAATGAAAATGAACATCTTAGGTCTAAGCTAACTCCAAAAGTCCCCAAAGGTAGGTCTCCTACTATTAAAATATTAAATGTTGAAGAAGATTTTGGCAAAGAACAGATAATAGATTATTTCAAAGAAAGTTTGAATGTAACTAATTCTGATTTAAAACCCTTTAGTGTATATAAAAATAAATTTAACAAATATGATTGGCTTATAAATATTGATTCAAACACATTTTCACAATAGAAAAATAGATCAACAATTGAAAATAATTTACACAGATTTAGATATGGATGGAGAGTTATCAAATGGACGGAAATTTTTCTTGTTAATAGATGCACTAAATGTCTTGATTTTCATAAATCTAAAAACTGTAAAGAATCAGAAAACACTTGTGCAAAATGTGGTAGCAAGGGCCACATTTCTAAATCATGTACAAAAACAGAAAATTGTATAAACTGTAAAAAAGCTAATAGTAAAAACCCTACACTTAAATTGAACACACAACATAATGCTTTCAGTATAGACTGCCCTTGCTATATACATAGAATTAATTAATTGAAAAAAGATATTCTTTATATATAATTTGTTATTTAAAATATTTTATTATGTCTTTTCTTTACTTAATTATTTTTTCTTTATTTTTGTCCTTATTTACTCATTTATTTATTATTTCACAATCAAATTTTGAAAATGGCAAAATGGCTCCACTTCTCCCTTGCTTTTTTATATACATGTTTGTTACACATTTAGCAATACATATACCAAAACATTTTTTAGAATATTTAGCTCTTTTAGTGAATTTTTGTCAGGGGGGCTGCAAAAATGCCGTATTTTTGCAATATTTGGATGCTTTTTTTGTAAAAAAAAATATTAGGACTTAGAATTAAGCTTTGTTCTTTTATGTACATGTTATTTATACCCTTTGCTGGGACGGACGCCCTTGGTCTTGGGCGGGAGGAGGTCCTAGACCTCCTCTCCTCGAGGACCAAGGCGCAGAAGCATGGACCCCTCCTGTCACCTCCGCAGGGCGATGCTCTCGCCGGCCTGATCAAACAAATCTTGGATCTGAGGCCCGGAGCAGGCAGCAATATCTATAAAGTCCTCGGACAGGTCAAGGCTGAGCTGAGGACAACACCAGCCGCAGTGCCTACACCTCCACTGCCTGCGCCTCGGCCTGCTGAGCCAACACCACCCGCTCCCCAGGACATGGAATCGTCACCGGCCATGGCCACACCTCCGCCTCCACAGTCTATACATGTGGAGGACACCCCGGACCTAACCCGTTGGAGGAGTTCGCTGGCCTGTCCGATCGTACTTCTCCCTATCCTGGGTAAAACCCTCGAGAGCATGCTCTCCTTAGACTCTCGCACCACTTTGAGTCCAACGGTCTCTTCCACCCCAATCAATTTGGATTCAGGAATGGGAGAAGTGCTATGGACATCCTCGTCCTTCTCAAAGCTAAAGTTTCGGAGTCTATACGTTCCCACCAATGCGGCCTCCTTATCAGTCTCTACATCAAGTCGGCCTTTGATCACATGTGGCACCCCGCTTTCCTTGCCCAGCTCACTGCTGCTGAAAAGGGATAGCCAGGCCATAAAAAAAGTTTTAAAAAATCATCAGCGGGCTTCGAGTATCTTGTCCAAATCACATTGTTGAACTTGAATCAAACCTTCTTCCCTTGCACCTAAGGAGAAAAATATCTGCTTCTCAAAATTCATATCCAAAAAGATTCAAAAGAACACCCTACAGGAAATTTTATTAGAAATTGGGTCCCAATTCTATGGGATTTGTTATTGAGTTGGGCTATATCAAAAATAATGTTTCTTCTTTCAATAAAATACTGACAAAATTTGTCTAAAACCACATTTTGCTGAATCAGCAGTTGAGAGCCTAAAAGACAGGTAAATGTCATCAGCTTCATCGCCCAATAAATATATAAGCATATTTACCTGCTCGCTTTCATCTTTGGCATTTAAGCCTGTTGCGATCCTATAACGTTCAAAACATCTTGCCCACGTAATCCATTCTTCTGGACATTTGAAATTGAATTTTTCAGGTGGCGCAATGTTATTAAACATTTCAAAATTATGTTAATTTTATAATACCTTTGAATTAATTTAGACTAAATATATAAACATTTGTTAATAGGCTTACCGTTCATTTTGACGTTGTAACCACTATTTGAATGAATAAAACAAAACAGAAGCTCAAAGAAATGGAGCAGCAAGGAGTAATTGAGAAAGTTGATCATGCAACTGATTGGTTATCACCAATGGTGATTGTGCCTAAAAAGAATAACGAAATTCGAATATGCGTTGACCTCACCTTTGAGCCAGTTAAGCAATGGTAAAGTGTTCTCAAAATTAGATGCTAATTCAGGATTTTGGCAAATACCTTTGGATGATAAGTCAAAAGACTTTACAAAATTCTTGACACCTTTTGGACGGTATAGATTTTGTCGACTTCCATTTGGAATTACTAGCGCACCCGAGCATTTCCAAAAAAGAATGAGTGAGGTTTTAGGAGATATCGAAGGCTCAATGTGTCATCTAGATGATATCATAGTTTGGGGATCCAATCAGCAGGAACATGATGGAAGACTGAAACAAGTCCTTAGCAAACTGAAGGAAACAGGATTGACACTTAATAAAGAGAAATGTGTATTCTCTTCTCCTAAATTAAAGTTTTTGGGACACCAAATTGGACCTGATGGACTAAAGCCAGAAGAGAAAAAGATAAGGGCTGTTGTACATATTTTAATTATTTGTTACCACAGAGTGTGTGTAAGCTCACGGGTAAATAGGCGCTAAAAAACAAGAAAAAAGAGTTCCTTTGTTTCAATATAAGTTTCCCTTTTATATTATATCTCTCTCTTGTAAATCAATAAATATAATGTTTAATTAATAATTATTGGAATCAGTTTCATTAATAATACTAAGCAAAGTCAACAAGGGCAATTATTGAAATGCCATCTCCTCAAAATGTTACTGAACTGAAAAGATTCCTTGGAATGATAAATTATCTCTCTAGATTTATTCCATCTTTGGCAGAAAGAGCTCATCCCTTATATTCATTGCTGAGCCAAAAAAATGATTGGTTCTGGGGAGACAATCAAGTGAAAGCTTTTGAAACCTTGAAAAAGGCTCTTTCATCATTCCCTACTCTGGCTATGTACAATCCCAGCTACAAAACATTCATTACGGCTGATGCATCTTCCTTTGGTTTAGGAGCATACCTCAGTCAAATAAATGGAAAGAATCAAAGGCAGATTATTGCATATACATCTAGATCATTGTCGGAAACAGCGTAAATATGCTCAAATTGAAAAAGATGCCTTAGCTCTTACTTGGGCTATGGATAAATTTAAAAATTATATCATAGGCCTAGAAGTTGAGCTAGAAACAGATCATAAGCCACTTATTTCTATATTTTCAACCAAAGCAGTGGAAGATTTGTCTCCAAGAATACAAAGAATGAAGTTACGCATGATGCGGTACTGTTGGAATATTTAATTTTATAAAAATAAATATATATATGTTGTAAATAATTTTACCATATTATTTTCTACATAAATTATATTTTTATTAATACTTTATTGTTTATTTCATAGATGAACTCTGTGACGCCGAGAAGTCTAGACGACGCTGATGTAGATATAAATATTGTTTTTTTTTTTTTGCTTAGTCGAGTTAGTTAGACTTTTTTTGTTATCAAATATGTAAATTTACTATTTTTGTTTAATTAAGTTTTTTTATCCCAAGATTGAGGTATTCTACCTGTTAAGATTCCTCAAGTTTGTTATTACCATTAATTTTGTAAAACTTTGACGATTGGTTACTAAATAAACCCGTCAAGAGTAGTGCGTTTTGATCTCCTTTAATCAAAAGGCCTCGACTGCTCAATCTCATCTCACCACAAGCACCATTTTTTTAAATAGAAATTAAATATAATATATATATGAATAAGCATAAAAACATAAGAGGAGCTTCTTTAATAAGCATTAAAGAAGCTCCTCTTATGTTTTTATGCTTATTCGTTTAACCAATTTTTTAAGAGTTTCTTATCGTTTAATAATATATATATATTCTTTGAGATTGGATATGATGATAAACTTTTAAAAAGTTGTTGTTGGTAAAAGTGACGAACAAAACTTGATTAAAAATATATATAGCCACTATTATCTTTTGTATTTATTGTGTTTGCTTATTGTAATGTATGTATAATAAATAATACATTTAAAGGAGAAGTCTGTCAATCATCAACAAAACAACAAAGGTTATGGGCCGAGCACCATCTTCCACTGCGATATAGAAGAATAATTACAAAAACAAAAATGGCGGATATGTCTCAATTAAATATACCGAAGCTTGATGGCAATAATTTTGCTAGTTGGAAATTTAGAATCCATTCTGTGCTTGAAGGAAAAGCTTTAGCACATTTTTTAGTAAAAGTTTCACCAAAAGATGAAGCCGAAAAGGCGAAATGGATCCAACAAGACGCCCAAGCAAAAGGTATTATTACATGCGCAATGAATGATTCGCAAGTCGCACTTATTCTTACCTGCAAACACATCCAAGGAAATTTGGACATCTTTGCAAAAAAGATGTGAAGGTAACGTAAAAAGAAAAGGCATTGAAGCTAGAAATGAAGTATCACTGCTACAAATGAAGAAAGAAGAAAAATGGCAAGAATACATTCTAAGAGCAGAAAAAATGCTTGGAAATGCAAGAATTCTCGGTGCTGAAATAGATGAAGAATTCACCACTGCACTTATTAAAGGATTACCTTCAAAATATAACATTATTGCCATGCAAATAGACAGTATGGACAACCCAACTATTGATAATATTCGACGCCTATTCGAAATATACCAAGAAAGATACTGCAATCAAGAAAAATACAAACATTCCTCAGCTTACAAGGTATATAATAAGAATAAATATACACATTATAAAGAAAGAAAGGCATCAAAAATGTTTCATCTGCCATAAACAAGGACATAAAGCCAACGAATGCTGGCACAACCCAGAAAACAATGGGAAGACAATGGTAAAACAGACCTCCCAACCAGGACCAAGTGGATATAAAGCAAATACACCAAATAAGTATTAAAAGGCAACAATTGTTAAAGAAGAAAAAGCAAGTGATTTGCAAAACTAGTGAAAGAAAGAAAAATTTGGAACTTTGAATTTTAGATAGTGGGGCATCAAGCTATATGACATCACATTTTGAATACCTGGAAGAACTTCAAGATGATAAAAGAAAAATAATTCTTGCTGATAATAGTTACATAAAATCCCAATTTTAATCAAAAAAATTAAAAATGTATTTTGGAAACGAGAATACCTCAGCAATTTGCAACAACGCCTGAAATGGCAAAAATCCTCACCCAACATTAAGGAAGGTGACATCATCTTGCTCAAGAATACCATATCACCACCAGCAATGTATTGGAGCCTTGGTCGCATCACCAGTCTTTCCGGGAGCGGACGGTAAAGTTTGAGTTGTCGAGGTGAAGACCAAGCACCAAGTATACCTACTAGAACTGTCTCTAAAATAGTACAGTTACCTTTTGCTGAGGACTAAGTTAGTCCACCGGGGTGGAGTATGTTAGTTTTTTTTTTTTTATTATTATTATTATTGTATTTTATTAATTAATTATAATTCATATTCATAGAATTTTATTGTTACTTATCATCATTCTTTTTGTTGTTCTTTTTTTTCTTTTTTGATTTAATAGTCTTTTTTTTTTTTTCTGTAATAAATACAACTAAATCGCATTAAATCTTAGTGTAATTCTTTTTTGTTGTTTGAAATAAATCGAATTGAATCGAAGTGAGTCAGCTCGTTCTTTCTAGAAGAAAGTTCAATCCGGCGGAAGAACAGGGCCACCATCGAGCCCATAATTCGCGCTTGTGTTCTTCGAGGCACGATAGTGATCACTGATTGTTGGCGTGCCTACAACCGTTTGGCGCGGAGGGGTTATATACATATGACCGTCAATCACTCTCAAAATTTCATGGACCCCGTCACTGGCGCCCATACGAACACTATAGAAAACACATGGTGGCAAATAAAGAGAAAACTGCGGTCAGCACGTCGGCCTAAAAACCAATTGCCTTTTTTTTTTGCTAAATATGCCTGGTGCCGCGCACACCCAGGCAACCCCCGGCAACAGATGCAATCATTTATAGAAGCAATCAAAGCCATCTACCCACCACCAACTCAAGATCAACCCGTTCCTCAGTAAAGGTTAGTAATCATCTTTTTTTGTTCAAAAAATATATATTTAATGGACTTTTTGTTTAGCATCCTGCTCATCCCAGAATCCGTAGAATACTACTACATACAGCTTGTAAATATGTACATTTGCATCAAAGAAAGCAGTTCAAGGAAAGAACCAATTATCATGACTGACTTCCCAGATAGACCATGGAAGGAGGTTGTGATGGATCTTTGCCAATTTGAGGGAAAACACTTTTTGGTAATAACTGATTACTATTCTCGTTACCCAGAATTTAGTAGATTGGATAATTTATCAGCAGAAACTGTGATCTTGCATACCAAGTCTATTTTTGCAAGACATGGAATACCAGAACTTGTAAGGACGGATAATGGTCCACAATTTAAAAACTATTTGTTCCAGAATTTTGAAAAAAGGTACGCATTTAGACACATCAAGAGCAGCCCTAAATTACACTATTTACACTAGAATAAATCGCTAGATAAAATAGATTTTAATATAAATTTAAAATTAAAAATTATTTGAAATTTTATTATTTATATTAAAATTAATTTAATATCATAATTTTGTACAGAGTTTGTACAGAGTTAAGTTAATATGGCAAAGTCATGTTTTATCAGATATTCAAGTTATATGAACCATTGTCACAATTGTACTTTATAAAACATTTGCAATTTGCATTATTTATATATTGCAATTTGCGGTTATAAAAAAATATGTTTTGCCTGGCACCACCATTGAAGCCACCTTATGTGGATGAGGTTGTGCTTGCCCTCCGATCAGAAGACCCAATCTTCCCCTTCGCAGAAGACAAGAGGAACAAGAGCAATAGAAGAATGTTAACCACTGCTCTCCTCTGGTCGGACACAAACCAAGGAACAATAAGGCAGAGAATGACAGCCCTTGCTGCATCCGCAACCAGAAGTGTTGCCACCAGGTTCACTGCTCTTCTGGCCGAACTAGATACAGAAATTGCCGATATAAGGGCCACTCAACCTGCTGAGGCAGACCAGTTCAGACAGCAGGGCTCAAACATTGACCCAGTCTTCCTCATCTTCTTCATAATGATAAAGAGAGGAGGTTTGACTCTCGAAAACTTCTACAAGGCACAGAGATGTCTGTGGGCCATGGCAAGAAAAGTGAGAGGAAGAGTGGAAACATCCAAGATGCTCCAGCAGTTCAGAGAAGTGCCCGGCATACGCAACATCCAAGAATCAATCAGCAAAAGCCAGAAGCTGCATCTCCCTCCTTGGGTCCTGAACTATGCAAGACTGCAGGACCTGTACGCAACTGTAGGACCTGGGGATTCAAAAAACTTCGAAGCGACGCTAGGAACTCCGGGCGTATCCTGGCGTCATGTTTTGAATCTAAAAATGAACAACGCCTACCAACTAAAAGTGATCACCACTCTTTTCAAGATCGAGGAAAAGTCGGCAGATCTACAGAACAAAGAACCAGATGCAATGATATACCAGAGCCTGCACTCCTTCCATCAGCTGCTGCTGCAGAAGAGGAGCGCTCTGCAGAACAGTGCCCAAGTGAACGGAAATGCACTGCAAGTAACAATCATCTAGACTTAATCCTAAATCCAATAATATCTATTAAGCATAACCTTCAATATTCTAGCAATTTAAGTAAAGACTTTTTCCAATTCATAAAATATTCAACTAACTATAATGTAAAAGTAAAAACATATTGTAATCAACCAAAAGATAAGATCTGGCCTAAAAACAACACTATATATCTAATCAATGAAGAGTGTAAAGTCTTATCCCCCATCGAGATGTATAACCCAAAAAACCATGCACTATTCATAAATTTCCACACAATAAGAACTGAAATCCTACTTGACAGACCAGTAAAATTCCACCTCTTAAAGAGGGAGAGCAGCGTACAGACACATTTTAAAAAGGCTAAGGCTATTTCTTCAAAACATCTACCACATTTGGTGAGCCGGACGTGATCACATTTTTAAAATGAACAAAGATTCGAATGAAAATACAATTAAAGAAGCTTCTTCACCTCAAGAAGTCCACAAAGTAAGTATTAAAATTCCTCCTTTTTGGACAGATAAACCTGAGATTTGGTTTTATCAAGTTGAGGCGCAATTCAGTATAAATTGTATAACTTCAGAAGAAACAAAATATATATTTAATTATTTGATCGCACAACTTGAGCCTAAGTATATTGAAAATATTTGGGACATAATTACTCTTGATAGTAAATTTAAATATACAGAGTCCAAAACTAGACTTTTAACTATATTTAAAGCGAGTGAAAGTGTTAGAATAAAAAGGCTTATCACAGGAATTGAGCTTGGAAACATGAAGCCTAGTCAACTTTTATAGAAATTAAGATCTCTTGCCACTAAAGATATATTAGATAATCTAATAAAGACATTATGGCTTTAAAAATTATCTGATTCAATGAAGAAGATATTACTTGTAAGTGATGAAAATGTCACAAAATTAGCATCTAATGGCTGATAAAATAATGGACATGACCTTTAGCCCTGATGTCTGTAGTGCTAGTTCTTCACAAACTTCTCATACTAATATGGAAAATTTGTTAGAGAAAATTTCTTCACTTGAAAGACAAGTGTCTGAAATTAATTTATCGAGATCAAGGCCAACATCAAAGAATCAAGGCCATCAACAAAATCCCAGAATACCATGGCCCAAATTATTACAAAAGGCCTTAGAAGAATATCGGAGTATTCCTCATTCCATAACTAAAATGCCTCCCGTTTATTTGCTTTTTGGCATAACGCCATCATATATCAATAAATTAACAAGAGCATATCCACCCATAGAAGAGGCTAGGAAAATTGCAAATGAAAATACCGAAAAATTACATCTTAAATTGGTAAAAAGATATAATGAATCCCATAAAACGCCTAATCTAAAAATAGGGGATAAGGTCCTTTATAAGATCCCTTACCAATCAGGTCAAGGTAAGCTCATGCCAGCCTTTTATCCAGAACCATACACCATAATTTCCATACCCTCACTACAAACCATAGAAATAGATAAGCCTTGCCAACCCGAAAATAAGCATGCAACAATAGTTAATATTTCTAAAGTAAAGCTCTGGGATCCGGTAACTGAAGATAATACTGAACCAACATTCCCATTTCAGGAAGAAGAGGATTTGGAAGGATGCTTGGGTATCGAACCTAACAAGCAAGCTTCCACCGATAGTCCTCAGGTTTTATTCTCTTCCATTAAAGAAAAAAAAAAATCCAGATCACCCCACAGAGCCCCTGGAGAAACTACTGCCGGTTTCGAGAAAATAACAAAAAAGTTGCCCTGGAATGGGATTCTACATGGAGAGTGTCTCCATAGACATGTAATGTCCAAATTTTAAAATATCATTTTTTTCTTCCTGCCTATTGTTAGTTAGGTTTTGTAGGGCCACCTTTTCCTGTGATTTTCCCCAACAGGCTTTGGTCGCCTTTTACCTCTAACAATATAGTTTCTTGTGTAAATACAATTACTTGTGTAATATAATTTTTGCATTTTTTTTCTTCCTTCAAAATGTATCTTATCCTTTACCTTCCATCCCCTCCCAACCTCCGTTGAGAAAAAAATTAACACTAGTTTTTTTTTTTTTTTTTTTGTGGGGGGTAGTGATTCATTTTGAATGATATTAAAATTCTATCTGTTTTGCATAATGTTCTTTGTTTGTAAAATAATTAATTTTTACAGCGTGCCAAGTATGTAAATTTTGTTGTTTGTTTTAAAAAGATTTGAAAAAAATAAAGATATGATTATTGAGGTGGAGACGGCCACAAACGACTGCTAATTCTTTTTCACACATAGAATTACATCATATATATGTCTCTCACACAGTCTCTCCCTCCAGGTCTCGGTGATAAGCATCCAAGTTTGTGTCATGGCCTCTACCTCTGTCCCGTGGGCTGTTCCCGATCACTCTCTGTGTTAACATCCAGCCCTGCCTCTGCTTCTTGTTGTCCGTGTGTGGGAAGAACACCAACACTCGCCTCACGTACACGACTGCCAGTTCATCCTAACGTCGGCATTTGCAACAATATTACATATATATCGTAATTTAAACAATGTGATATGTAAGTAATAAAGTATGACGCCTTTTCTAGTCGTCTCAAAGTGACACCAGCTTGCCACGGGACACCTGGGGGATCCAGAGACGGACAAAAGAAGGGGCGTCCAGATTTCGACAGTTATTTAGGTTACAGTGGATATTTTCAGACAGCCCCGCTCGGTTGTAGGCCATTATCATCTCACGACGGTCCCCGCGGCTTCAGGCTGGACGCCGAGCTTTTCCTCAGTTAATCCTCAACTTTCCCCTGGTCCTGGTGCCACTTGAGACGTACTGGGGAGAGCATCTTTTGGTCCCAAACTTTGTCCTTACTGTCCCGTGCGGACTTCCCACTCTGCACGCCTTGCCACTCAACCCCGACTGCTTCCAACCCACTTGTTGTCTCACCCGGGTTTACGACATATATATATATGTCGTTCTGTCTTTCTCTCTTTTCTCTATATAACTACTAAAATTTATACTATTAAATATATTCTCACTTCTATTATTCTATATATAAATTAGAGTATGTCTAAATGACGGGTAACAGCCGATTGCAAAAGACGTTACGTTGTTAAATTTTATTGTTATTAATTATAAATATATATGGATGATGCGTAAGAAGTAAAGAATTTTTTTTTCTCTCTCTATTAAATAATAACAATTCACCATGGCTTGCTGCGAAATGGGACGCTGGCATCGACGATGGTAAATATCTTTGCCATTATCGTGAGGCTCGGCTCCAATCGCTGCATTTCCGGATTATGACTAACACTGATGTAAGGAACAGAGGTGGTACAATCTCGGTCTGTTTCATTCCCTATTCCATGGATACTCCAAACTCCAGTGTAGACTACACATGGATGCATCTCACAGACATTCAACGCGACCACAGAGCCGTCACTTTTAGAGAAAGTGACACTAGAACCTACACCTACACTCCCCGAGCTGGCGACAAAGCATTTTCCTGGATGCCTATCGCCAAGGTCACTCCTGACCATATTACTGGGCTTGGTGCTCTGCTTGTGGGTTATCAAACCTTTGGTTCTGATGACATGGCTACTATTTCCACTCATTATGGCTCTAGTGAGTTCTGCGTCGAGGTGACTTCCTCCGCATCCTTCCTCGTACGTGATTTTGTACCATCAACGATCGAGTTTGAGGATGGCGTGACCTATCTTAATACAGCAAATTTCAAAAACACATCGGTCCTATGATGCCCTTCAATATCCATTGATATTCCCTTATGGTGAAGACGGCTACCATTTTAACATTATGCAAATTGAGCCATTTTCAGGCACAATAACCAATAAAAAGGTTTCATCAATGGACTTCTACAGTTATAGAATATTGATTTGTGATAATAGCCCAAACCATATTTTTAAATGCAGGCAATTATTTCACCAATTTCTTGGCCTGGCACTTCTGCTGGGCCCTGTTCGCGGTACAGTGCTTCTGGTGGGATTTCCACGTCGCCAAGTCTCGTACTTGACACAGCGGAAATCAAGCCTGCGCGGTGGTCCATTTAACGGGTGGGGACAGCTATGAACATCAGGCCCTGCTGCTCAACGAGCTGAGGCCCCATGTGATTGTCGCCACCCCTGGACGCCTCCTTCACCATCTAAGACCAAGAACTTCTCTTTAAAATGTCTCAAAGTGCTGGTCCTGGATGAAGCGGACCGGATTCTTAAAAACGAAAAAGACCTGGATGAAATCCTGAACCTGCTGCCCAAGGAGAGGCAGACCTTGCTGTTCTCCGCCACTATGTCTGCGGAGAATATAGATCTCAATAGACTTTTTCTGCAAGACTTTGTGGAAATCCGAGCAGACACACTGATTAGCCCCCATCTGGAACATTTCTACCTTCGCTGTTTAACGGAGCACAAGGAATACTATCTGGCAGCACTTCTAGAAGGACCCTTTCATCGTAAGAGAGTGCTGATGTTCTGCAAAACAAAATTCAGCACTATTCGGCTGCACAGAATTCTTAAAACGCTTGGCTTCAGGCCATTGATGCTCCATTGCGATATGGCTCGGGCTAACCGGAACAAGAATTTGAGAAAGTTCAAAGAGGAATCCCAATCTTATATGGTGGCTACAGATGTTGCAGGGAGGGGCATGGATTTCCGTGAAGTCTCGGCGGTGATAAATTTCGATCGCCCCAACGTGAAGGAAGACTATACCAGGAGAGTAGGCCGTACTGCTATGGCTGGAAATACTGGCCTAGCAATAACACTTCTTCCCAAATCTAACAAAGTGGACCTCGGCTATATGGTGAAAAACAAGATATTGAAGGAATTCAAACTAGGAATGTCTGAAGAAGAGTTCGTACAAGTTTATCAAGAAAGAACAGACAATGCCATAAGAATTGGCAATGCTGTGGTGGCGGAATTGAAGAAGGAGCAGGAAAACGAACAGATGAAAAGATCAGTTCCCCAAGAAGATTCTGCATCACAACCCACCAAAAAGATGTGTAATTGAGTACCATCGCAATGCACCATCGCCGCGCGGCCCGGCGATCAACCAGGTTATTGCACCCATGTCTGTTTGGTCACGTGACATGCATCCTTGTTCTGCCACTCGTCTCGACAAGTTTGGCCATCCTATTGCGCATGTTTCTGCACACATTGTTGTGTCACGTGACCAGGTTTGTTTACCTCTTGGTAATAACAACCAGGTCGCTGATGCACACTGTGTAACACGTGACACAAACACGATGCTCTGGTGGTAAGCCCGTCTGACACCACATGCCTACCAGGTTCTCACACAAATGTGACACATGTACACAACCTTGCCCCTGCTCTTTGTGATCCGTTTAGGATGCCGTTCCGGCTACCTGAGGTCTTTAAATGTCCCGAGTGTTACGGGATGGCGAGAGTAACCCGCAGTGGTGTCTACAAACAGCACAACGATCTGGTGAAGCACCTTCGTGTTCTACACAAGATCAACAACGTGGTTTTTGACTGCACGGTCTGCCAACAAAGCTTCAAAGACCTGCAGAAACACCACCAGGATTGCTCTACGGTTGAAAAACTGGCCCAAAAGAGCGCACCATCTACGAGGAGCAAGAAGAGGACACCTGGAAGCGACGCCGTGGCCCTGGAGGAGCCTGAACACTCAACTCAGTCAGCGGCCCAGGAGCCGATTTCTTCCGAGACTCCGACAGGACCGCCTGTGGAACTGGACCAACAAAACGTCCCCCTAATATAATCGTTTGTTTACAAAATATTCTAATTAATTTAAGGTTGGTAATTTTATTTTGTATGCCAAATTATTTGGTAATACTTTATTTAAATTAAAAATGGGAGATAAATTCAATAGGAAAAAAAAATGTTTCCTGTGTTGGAAAAACTAATGGAAAATATTTCTACATTTTTAAATGCCAAAATTTGGCCAACGCTCCCCGGGCTGCACCATCCCCATCCAGATGATTGAAGAACACTTCGAGAAACGCATGGTTGGGGACAACACCGTGTTCAGCCCCGACCCAGATCTCCTCAAGGACTTCGCCCCCCAGGACGGAGCCCAGTTGGAAGAACCCATCTCTTCCAACGCAGTATGGTACCGCCTTCTCAAGATGGGAAACACTGCTCCTGGTCCCGATGGCATCAGCTACCAGGAACTGAAACGGGTGGATCCCAAAGCCACCATCCTCACCCAGATCTTCCAGGTCTGCTTCCAGATGAGGGCGGTACCCCCTTCATGGAAGGAAAGTTCCTCTATCTTGCTCCACAAGAAAGGGGACGCCGAGGACATTTGCAACAATATTACATATATATATATCATAATTTAAACAATGTGATATGTAAGTAATAAAGTATGACGCCTTTTCTAGTTGTCTCAAAGTGACACCAGCTTGCCACGGGACACCTGGGGGATCCAGAGACGGACAAAAGAAGGGGCGTCCAGATTTCGACAGTTATTTAGGTTACAGTGGATATTTTCAGACAGCCCCGCTCGGTTGTAGGCCATTATCATCTCACGACGGTCCCCGCGGCTTCATTCTTAGGTTCATTCCATAATGTTACAGAGCTGTATTTGTTCCCAAACAGCAAAAAATGCATAAACATCTTTATTTTAAGGTTCAATATAAAAAATATTTATTTTATTCGAATCAATACGCACATGTTTGTTTCGCTATCACCCCTTTCCCAAGGATATTGACAAACCGCTATCCTCCTCCTTCCCCTCCCCCTTTTGGTTTTTGTTTCGTTGTGCGAAATAAGTCATGGCGTCTTTATTCTTTCTCTTGCTCTCCCCTTACAAATGAATATCAATTTAATCAATGAACTTTTGATGGATGAACGCCTTGACATAACATTTTTCTCCCTCATATCTCTGATGCAAAATATAGCTGCCTGGTGTATTAGAAAGGGCCTACTGGCTGAACATTATACATGCAGCAAATGTGGCACGCCAGCCCAACTTAAAGATCTAGGCGGGAATACTACAAATGGATGTGTAAAAAAGGAGGAGTGAATCCGCACTATTTTGCAAGATCCATTCAAAAAAATACTTGGTTCTGGAGATCAAGGATGCCGATAAGCAAAATTGGATATATGGCACCACACTACGTATTGTATCCCACGACCTGGACCTCTCACCCAACACCCTCACAGACTGGTACAGCTTCAGCCGTGAAGTCATGGTGCGGGATAACACCCCAATCGGAAGTCCCAGAAAAATCGTCGAAATCAACAAATGTATTTTCGGAAAAAGAAAAGACAACCGTGGGCGCTGGGTTCACGGAAAATGGGTGCTTGGAGGAGTCTAGAGGAAGTGGGGACGAGTGTTCCTTCATGTCATCCGGCGGAAGAACAGGGCCACCATCGAGCCCATATTTCGCGCTTGTGTTCTTCGAGGCACGATAGTGATCACCGATTGTTGGCTTGCCTACAACCGTTTGGCGCGGAGGGGTTATATACATATGACCGTCAATCACTCTCAAAATTTCATGGACCCTGTCACTGGCGCCCATACGAACACTATAGAAAACACATGGTGGCAAATAAAGAGAAAACTGCGGTCAGCACGTCGGCCTAAAAACCAATTGCGCTGCGCACACCCAGGCAACCCCCGGCAAAAGATGCAATCATTTATAGAAGCAATCAAAGCCATCTACCCACCACCAACTCAAGATCAACCCGTTCCTCAGTAAAGGTTAGTATTCATCTCTTTTTTGGTGCAAAAAAATATATATTTAATGGACTTTTTGTTTAGCATCCTGCTCATCCCAGAATCCGTAGAATACTACTACATACAGCTTGTAAATATGTACATTTGCATCAAAGAAAGCAGTTCAAGGAAAGAACCAATTATCATGACTGACTTCCCAGATAGACCATGGAAGGAGGTTGCGATGGATCTTTGCCAATTTGAGGGAAAACACTTTTTGGTAATAACTGATTACTATTCTCGCGTTACCCAGAATTTAGTAGATTGGATAATTTATCAGCAGAAACTGTGATCTTGCATACCAAGTCTATTTTTGCAAGACATGGAATACCAGAACTTGTAAGGACGGATAATGGTCCACAATTTAAAAACTATTTGTTCCAGAATTTTGAAAAAGGTACGGATTTAGACACATCACGAGCAGCCCTAAATACCTCCAAAGTAATGGAATGGCTGAAAGTGCTGTGAAGATGATCAAGGCAAGATTGAAGAAATCACAGGATCCTTATCTAGGACCTCTAGCTTACAGAACTACCCCTTTGGAAAATGGATTCAGTCCATCTGAATTACCGATGGGAAGAAAATTAAGAACTGATCTTCCTACTCATCCTGACCTTCTTAAGCCTACTCTGGTCAACCAAGGACTTCTTAATCAAAAGGAACATAAATACAGAGAGAGGGAAAGAAGAAGTTACAACAATCATTGGAAAGTTTTAAGTCAGAAAGAGTTTGATGTCTGAGATCAAGTGTGGGTCTGAGATCTAAAAGTTCCTGGAACTATCATAGGCAGAGCAGACCAGCCGAGATTCTACTTAGTAAAGTCTCCAAAAGGACAATTGAGAAGAAACAAAATTCATTTGGCTCAGAATTATAAACATAAGGTTTCCAGAGAATGTGAAGAAAATATCCTGGAGGTAACCCAAGTGGATTTACCTGAGTCTTCAGAACAAGACCCTTCTTCATGTGAGGTGGAACAACAAGACCCTTCTTCATGTGAGGTGGAATTCCAACAAGATTCTCAAGAACTGCAGGGGGAACTTCAAGGCCCTACATTACAAGGACTGGCAGAGTGGTGAAACCGCCGTGAGACTAACCCTTTAGCTTAAGGGGGAGGTGTTATATAATGTGTTCTATGAATAAGTATTAAGATCATCATCAATTGGTATGTGAATGTGTTGTTTGTTGTAACAATGTGATGTGTCCTGTAAGTTATGTAATAAAAATAACTAAAAATTATAATTGCCTCATTTATTAATGTTGGAAACTGAATGCTACGACTGTAGCTAGCGCCACACTGGCCTTATCATCATCACTACAGTTTTGTTTACTTCTTCTCTATACTGTTAATGTGTTCGCTACTATAACTTTCTTTTACTAAATGGGGATAATAAAGTTTATTATCATATAATCATCAACGGCCTCATGTCTTCATACAAGCTGTAAGTACCTAAATCTTACAACAATCAGATTATGAGACTGAATATTGCATGAAATTCAACTAACAAGTTAAGACAAAGAAAAAAGGCTTAGCAAAAATTGGCATCACTACCGAGCCACGATGTAACCCTAGATAAGCTCGACGGCTATAACTACTTACTATGGTCTTTTAAAATTGAAATGCTCTTGCAAAAGGAAGATCTTTGGGAAGTTGTCACCTAGCAGAGATACTTTTGGGCTATAGAAGGACCCCCATAGCTAGCATTGGAAAGTCTCCCTCCGAAATGATGTTTGGCCATAACATTCGGAGTCGTTTGGATTTGATCTTACCAAATCCTGGTAAATCAGACAAACCAGGTTTTAAGGTAGGAGAGTCTGTATGGTATCGAACCTACAAATCAGGACCAAAATGGGACCAAGCTAACATTCAAGGCACTACGGGAAACCGTCTAGTTACATTGCAAACAGCCAAAGGACAAGTTAGAAGACATTGGAACCAAATATGGAGATCTCACATTCCTGAGTAGAGAAGTGAATCTACTGAAGACCACGCTGGAGTCTCCGAGCCTGATAAGCCTGATATAAACACCGAACCAGAGGAACTGATTCCACTACGCCAGGAAGTGACATCGGAGCCACAGTCTTCTACCGAACCAGTCCAGAGTCCGCAGACTATTACACCACCAGATCCAGTTAATCCCCTCCGGAGATCTAGTAGGATTCAGAAACCACCTACAAGATTGGACATATGAAGAGTTCCGCTCTTTCGAAGAGGAGAGGATGATATATATTTCATATGACTGGTCAATTTTATATATAATTTAACACTTAAAGCCCGGCGGACGTATATTTACGTCCCACATTTTTTAAAAATCGGTATAAAATCGGCCGTTAAAGTACGTTCCTCAGGATTTTGGGTACAACGTCCTTGAAGTGTCCATCAACGATTGGCTAACACGTGTTCCCCTCCTCCCAGATTCCATTTCTGTGACTCATATACCCACATGCAGTCATTTGTTTATCTTCTACTGTTTCCTTGACGTAGAGTGCTGCTCTCTTTTTTTGTTCTTCATTCACTCGCTCTAAAAATAGGTCCCAACATGCCCAGTACCTCAGGAATTGATTTATTGAATGTTCCTGAAGCTGATGAAGAGTTTGAGGATTATTTCCTAGCAGATTCTGGGTCTGAACTAGATGATTCGATTGAAGATCCTCAATTTACTTTGGAAGGTCTAGAATCTGATACAACTGAAATTTATTATGAAGAAAGTGAGGAAGGGGTAACTATTCTTATTTTTCTTTCATCCTATTCATATATTTCACCTTTTTTTTTTTTGCAAATAAGACAACCTACCCCTGAAGATGAAGGATGGACCGAGGTAAGATTACCTTTTGAAAAGCCTACATTTTCTGGAACCTGTGGACCAAAGGCAGCTTTCTTTCCTGGAACTCTCTCTCCATATTCAGTATTCAAGAAGTTTTTTTGATGAAGAATTGTTTAGAACAATAAAGTTGGAAACCAACAAATATGCAAGGATGGTGATTGACAAAGAGAGAAAGAAAGGCCCTTTGAATCCTAGGGGGTTGTTGGCAAAGTGGAAAGCTGTTTCTATTGCTGAATTGAAGATATTTTTGGCAATAATCATTCATATGAGTCTTGTAGTAAAACCAAGTGTTAGTGAAAGGTAATTTGCGCTGGGCCTCACGTGGTCTGCGAGAGGCAAGGCACGCCCACGCGAGAAGAAAAGAAAACAGTTTGAACGGCCTTTCAACCACCACCATCCTGCCGACGGTGACAAAGGTCGGCGCGCATGCGCGGCGGCGGCGGTCACGTGGGAAGCACGGGCGAGGGTACGTTCGAAAATCGACGGCCATCACGGGCGGACATTCTTTCCCATCCATCCGTTTGAATCAAACATTTTTCAACTTCTTTTTTACTAAATATTTAATTTGTAACATTTTATTAATATTTATATTTTATCCTTAATAAATTAAAATACCACGAATGAATAATTGAATCATTTTTTCAAAATCAAACGAACCACCTCAATATAAAGTTGATCCTCTTTAAATATATTATCACCTTTGCTCGAGACCATTTAAATCTAAACGAACCAACATCATAGTGTACCAATCTAAAAGTGTACAACACACCAAGGCTTAGAGAATATTGGTCAAACCACATTGGAATGAGGACAGCTTTCTGCAAATCGACTGGAATGGCAAGGGAAAGATTTGAGGCCATTTTATCAATGCTCCATCTGAATGATAATATGCTATATATTCCACATGGACAACCAGGATATGATCCAATTTACAAGATAAGAACCTTATTTGATTCCCTTGTCAATAAATTCCGAACCTGGTACTCGCCTGATGAAAAATTGACAATTGATGAGGCCATTTGTCCTTTTCGTGGACGGGTTCATTTCCGAGTATATATAAAGGGCAAACCTCATAAATATGGGATCAAGATTTGTGAATCAAGTACAGGGTATACCTGTAACCTGGATATATATACTGGAAGACATCCTCATCAAAGCCTCCAATATAATTCTATATTGAGCTTAGTTGACAGGATTGCTGAACCTTACTACCAGAAAGGCCACATCATCTATTTCGATAGGTGGTTTTCCTCTCCCCAACTTTTCAATCATTTATGGGAAAAGAAAACACTTGCAGTAGGAACAGTCAGGCATAACAGAAAGGGATTGCCAAAAAAAGCTTTCTCAAAAAAACTGAAAAAAGGTGAAAGCCTCTTTTGTCAAAACAGTCAGCTTCTCGCATTGAAATGGCGTGACACCAGGGATGTCTTTATGATAGCAACAACCCAAGATTCCAGCATGATCCAGGCTCAAAAGAAAATAAGAAGACAGCCTCAAACCATTTCGATAACCAAACCTGCTATTGTAGTTGACTACAATAAAAACAAGGCTGGTGTCGATATAAGTGACCAATTTATGGCATATTATCCTTTTCATCGGCGTACTCTAAAGTGGTGGAAAAAGCTTTTCTTCCACATTTTCGGCCTCACTATTGTCAATAGCCATATTGTATATAATAAATTGACCACGGGTCAAAAAATGCCACTTAGAGAATATCATTTGGCTATCATTGAAAGGTTGATGGAAGAAGCAGGTACAGAAATTTTGGATGAACAGCCAAGTGCATCTGGATCATCAGAGAGGCTGATTGGAAAACATTTCCTCACCAAAATCCCTGCTACTGGCAAGACTACCATCCAGAAGAGGTGCAAAGTTTGCTCTGACAAAGGAAAAAGATTTTCTGTAAAAGAGTGAGGAAGGACACCAGCTATATGTGTGAGACCTGTCTGGTTCCTTTATGCATTGCTGACTGTTTCAAGGCCTTTCACACAAAAGAGAGCTACTGAGAGTGATTTATATTAAAATTTGATTCCTTTTCAATATTTTCCTCAGAAAAAAAATTCGTCATGTATATTATTTTTATATATTTGATTCATGGAGTGGATTTGGTCAATTTGAATTTTTTATCTCTCTTTTATGTACATATCTCTTATAATTAACATGTATACAGCCACTTGCCTTCTCCTCTCCGACGAGGACACTTGGATCCTCCGCCAAGCTGGCTCCTTTGCCTTCTCCCCTGAGTGGCGGCTCCTCCGCCCACCGCCGCGTACCTGCCAGTACGCCCACCCACAGCCGTGCGCCCGTTGGGGGCCCACCCGCCGCCAGACTGCTAACAAAAAGCCCGCTCAGATCCGCACCTCCATCCCAGCGCTTGCACCAGGGACTACACCTCCGCCCCCTCCAATGCCTATTTTGAAATGCTAGTGAAATGACCTAGACTCTCAGTGCATATCTATTCGTTTTATTATTATTATATACTCATTATTACCTTATATCATGTATCATTCCTTTATTATATTAATGTATATTTGTATATATAGAAAGCACGATTCGGATTATAGATGTGTGACATTTTGGTAGCAGCGTTGTTACCATCTTCAGATAAAATGCACTAAACAAGTTTTAACCACTGCATATATATATATTTTGTTTATTTACCATAATATATTCCCAAATCAATGTTATTTCCTTCCCATATATCATATTCTTCAAGAAGTTTGGCATATTTATTATACAGAGGTAATATTTACTCATTTAATGTATCATCCACCATGTTTACCCTTTCCCTAATTATCTGCATTAATTCAATATTTTCATAATTTTTATTATTATTTTTTGTGAATATATCTTTAATAATTTTATATTTAATTTATTTTTATCATTTTTTAAAGATGCCTTTTAATTTTTATTTTCATAGAAAAAGAAGTGATGATAGCCTTGGGGGGTGAGTTCAGCAACACTGGGGACAAGGAAGCGGGATATTTACCTTCTTGAAGATTGACAATTTTGATATTGACATTCGGATTTTTACATTTCTTTTTATTAACAAAAAATTTGATTTTTTTTTTTGAGAAGAAAAAAAGACTTGGAGTTGCGGAGGGCGGAGGCCGCTGACTGCGGCCTTGGCTGCCCATCCTTTTGAATGATGGACACTGGGTGGCTGGATGACTAGGTAGGTTGGGGGATAATGGGACTTTGGCACGATAGGCCCTTTTTTTTTTTCTTTTGTATAAAGTTTAAAACTCCTCCCTTTTAACCTTATCTGCAGTTTTTTTTTTCTTAAATATATATATTTTTAATCTTATATGCGCGTGATATTATTCAAGTATTTTTTCTTTGTTTTATCTATATTTGTAGTGCATTGAAAATTTATTTTATTAGAATAAATAAAATATGTTTAACCAAAAAATTGATTGGTTAATTTCCCCATCAACATAATTGCTAGCCGGCACAGCTTTAGGTCTCTACATGTGCCATAGATGAATAAATTTGTGGTCTGCTTTTCAGCAGCCACTGGCGCCCTAATATATGGACATGTAGAGATCTGGAAATAGTAAAAGTATAAAATCATCATTGTTTTTAACAATGACTTTCTTCTTCCATTATACCCAAAAAAAAATATGAAATGCTCTCGAACTCATCACACAGTTACATAAAATATTAATTTTAATCAAAAAATTAAAAATGTATTTTGGAAACGAGAATACCTCAACAATTTGCAACAACGCCTAAAATGGCAAAAATCCTCACCCAACATTAAGGAAGGTGACCTCATCTTGCTCAAGGATCACCACCAGCAATGTATTGGAGCCTTGGTTGCATCACCAGTCTTTCCGGGAGCAGACGGTAAAGTTCGAGTTGTCGAGGTGAAGACCAAGCACCAAGAACACCTTACTAGAACTGTCTCTAAAATAGTACCATTACCTTTTGCTGAGGACTAAGTTAGTCCACCAGGGTGGAGTATGTTAGTTTTTTTTTTTTTTATTATTATTATTATTGTATTTTATTAATTAATTATAATTCATATTCATAGAATTTTATTGTTACTTATCATCATTCTTTTTGTTGTTCTTTTTTTTCTTTTTTGATTTAATAGTCTTTTTTTTTCTGTAATAAATACAACTAAATCGCATTAAATCTTAGTGTAATTCTTTTTTGTTGTTTGAAATAAATCGAATTGAATCGAAGCGAGTCAGCTCGTTCTTTCTAGAAGAAAGTTCAATCGGCGGAAGAACAGGGCCACCATCGAGCCCATAATTCGCGCTTGTGTTCTTCGAGGCACGATAGTGATCACTGATTGTTGGCGTGCCTACAACCGTTTGGCGCGGAGGGGTTATATACATATGACCGTCAATCACTCTCAAAATTTCATGGACCCCGTCACTGGCACCCATACGAACACTATAGAAAACACATGGTGGCAAATATAGAGAAAACTGCGGTCAGCACGTCGGCCTAAAAACCAATTGCCTTATTTTTTGGCCAAATATGCCTGGTGCCGCGCACACCCAGGCAACCCCCGGCAACAGATGCAATCATTTATAGAAGCAATCAAAGCCATCTACCCACCACCAACTCAAGATCAACCAGTTCCTCACTAAAGGTTAGTAATCATATCTTTTTTTGTTCAAAAAATATATATTTAATGGACTTTTTGTTTAGCATCCTGCTCATCCCAGAATCCGTAGAATACTACTACATACAGCTTGTAAATATGTACATTTGCATCAAAGAAAGCAGTTCAAGGAAAGAACCAATTATCATGACTGACTTCCCAGATAGACCATGGAAGGAGGTTGCGATGGATCTTTGCCAATTTGAGGGAAAACACTTTTTGGTAATAACTGATTACTATTCTCGTTACCCAGAATTTAGTAGATTGGATAATTCATCAGCAGAAACTGTGATCTTGCATACCAAGTCTATTTTCGCACGACATGAAATACCAGAACTTGTAAGGACGGATAATGGTCCACAATTTAAAAACTATTTGTTCCAGAATTTTGAAAAAAGGTACGCATTTAGACACATCAAGAGCAGCATTTAAATACCCCCAAAGTGATGGAATGGCAGAAAGTGCTGTGAAGATGATCAAGGCAAGATTGAAGAAATCACAGGATCCTTATCTAGGTCTTCTAGCTTACAGAACTACCCCTTTGGAAAATGGATTCAGCCCATCTGAATTACTGATGGGAAGAAAATTAAGAATTGAATCTCCTACTCATCCTGACCTTCTTACTGACGCGGATGTTAATATATTACCATTAGCATCACTAAAATTTCTGCAAGGAAAATATGTGATCACACCAACCAATAAAAATATATTTACCTACACTAAAGAAAGAATACCAATAGTGGGTGAGGTAGAACTTGAATGCCAATTCCAAAGTAAAAAGAGTAACTCGAAAATTTTTGTGGTTAAATGTCAGACTGTACCAATTTTGGGATTAAAAGATTGTTCTAGATTTGGATTAATCGAAAAAGTTAATTCCCTCCATCAATGCATAAATAATATCTCGTCTGAGGTTATTTTAAATAAATACAAAGATGTTTTTGAAGGAGTTGGACTTCTTAAAAATAAACAATCTATCCTTATTAAGGAGGATGCCATTCCCCAGGTATATACAGCAAGAAGACTCCCCTTGGCCATGAGAGAGCCAGTTAGAGAGGAACTTGAAAAAATGAGTAAATTAGGTGTCATAAAGAAAATAAATAAACCCACTGAATGGAGTCATCCTATGGTAGTAGTTAAAAAACCTAATGGAGATGTACGGATATGCATTGATCCAAGAAAACTCAATTATTGGATCAAAAGAGAGAGATACATGATGCCTTCCCCAGAGGAAGTTCTAGCTTTGATTCAAAAAGCAAACATATATACCGTCCTTGATGCAAAATATGCATTTTGGCAGATACCCTTAACTGATGAAGCATCACTATTAACCACAATGTCTACACCATATGGGAGATATTGTTACACAAGGATGCCGTATGGATTGAGTTCCGCTCCTGAAATTTTTCAAAGAATAATACATCAATTATATTTGGGTGTGCCAAATGTTGTTACCTATATGGACGATGTACTCATATATAGTGACAGTGAGACTGAGCATCTAAAAATACTAGGACAGGTATTGGAGATTGCCAGAGAAAATGGACTGAAATTTGATAAGACCAAAGCGCAGCCATGCTTGTAGTAAATAAAATATATTACAATTAAAAGGTGGTAATTAATTAATAAAATATAATTAATAGAAAACCACAACCGCTACGTAACACCTCCTTTATCAGCACATTCTCAATACTGGCCATCCTTTTAACACCAACCACCCCACTATACATTACAGACACATTCATAACCAGCACCAACGATTAGTTCTCGAGTCAATAGAATCCCACAGACATAACAGCATTAACCGAAAAATAGAACTTCCAGATGCATATCGTGCTCTCCTGGCCTTGCAGTAATAACTTCAACAAGATAGCTAGAAATTAATTTTACTTGGGTTTTTGAGGTGGTCGAGTGAGCGGGTGTTTACATTTACATTGGCATATTCCCCTATAGTTTCAAACTGCAAGCATAAAAATTCCTTATTTATTTATTTATTTACTTAATATCTCTCTAATTATAAAATAGTCATAACTTATGTAAATCCTCATTTCCATAATTTTATTCCGCAAATATGTAAATAGTTATATGTATATATTCTTTTTAGCCATTGTACCTGCATTATAGTACCAAGTTTGATGCTGAAATCACGCCTGTAGAAGGGTTTTTTGCCCGAAAGCTTGCTTTGATATATTTCTATTAAAAGAAACTCTTCTTCATTTCATCTCTTCATCTAAATTAAATATAATACTATAATAACTACTATATATTAAATATTATCAATGTTGTCTAAATAAATACATACATAGAAGCATTAATGTGAGTTACAATAATTTGTTAACAACGACGAGGTAACCCTAAATACACAACAATGACAAAAGGAAGGCCAATATATATAAAAATACTTACAGTTATTTTAAATACTCACACAGAAATCTATCTTACACGAAGACTTGCATTTATATATATATTTTTTTTATTATTATTATATAAATATGATTTGGAGAAAGAATAAAAAAAAAATCCATGGACCTTTCAAAACTTGCGACAAAAGAAAATGTCTGTGGTCAAATTTTATTAAAATAAAAAAATCCTTTTAAATTTTTTTTTTTTTTGCTTAAGTTATTTACCCTAAAATTTATTTTTAAGTTCAAGCTTAAATTTTTTTACCTTGTTGACGCTTTTATTTCTAAAATAAAAATTTTAATTGATATGGAAATATATGGAAACTTATATTATAAATAATAGAACAAACATTTAAACCAAACTTGAACCTAGAAGGATATTAAGACAGAAGAAGTCGAAATAATTTAAAATATTTTATTTATTAATTTTGAGATTTAAAATGTTCTCTGATTTAATCTATATATATAAAAATGAATGTATGTGTGTGTGTGTGTCTGTTTGTCCTTTATGCCTGACCAAACCACTCATTGGAACACCATGAAACTTTGGGAAGTTATTTAGTATAGTACTGGGAAGGTTTCTAGCAAATACAATTTTTGAAATAACTTTTCGCTTTAAAATAATCAAGATAAATATTCTAATTTATCTGTTATAATTCAACAATCTGCTCTAAATATTATCATGATGATACGATGATTTTGTAATGTAGAAAATTAGGAAAGACAAAATTCAGGATGACACGGCAATTTATTTGAGACAAGAATAATGATACAATTCCAAGGCAAGATACTATTCCTTTAACTTCCAATTACCGAGGGAACCAATTAATATTGATTTTATTCAACTTATCGAGTATTTTTCAAGGGACCAGAAAAAATGTTCACTTTATCGAGAGATTCGTTAGACAAACGGGTGGTTACCCGGCGAAGCCGGGTACGTCCGCTAGTGATTAATAAAAATATATTTGCAATGTAACAGAAGCATCTCTATATTTGTATAAGAGTGTATATGTGTAAGAATAACTACCAGCTCTATTAAAGAATAATAAATTGCTATCATCACTAATACTACCAAAATAAATCATACTCGTAAAACAATTTTAGATAAGTAAGCTGTGGGGAATGGTGGAGATCCATTATTCCGGATGCAGTCCAGACGGCTCAGGTGTCGACTGTAAACACGGCGGCGCCTGCCTGCAACAAAGGAGCCGCCGACATAGAATCAGAACACGGCTTGGTCTGCTACCGGCCAGTTGCGTGTTTTCCTCTGTCCTCTTGATATGTATTAAATAAAGTTAGTTAGAAGGAGATTTTTACCCCCTCCTTTCTGCTATTTAGTGATCTTATTTAAATCCTTGCAACAGCCCACAAAGAATCATCACAGCGAATTCTTCTACCGAATCTCGCTTCAGTGTTTTGTGAACTATTACCCTACATTTCTTCACAAAGTGGCGTCCCCGGGCTTCTGACAAGGCAAGATCAAGTGGATTAACGGCGGAGTACAAGTTCAAGACTTAAGATAAGTACCTTTTGTTTTACCCTCTGTTTATAGTGTTTTTTGAAAAATGGAAATTTTAAAAAGACATAGAAATTTACTTAGAAAGCGACTAACTCGCAGCTTGAAGACGACAGAAGAGTTTCTGTCAGGTACTCCACCGATACCAGTAGAGGACATTGAATATAATAGAGAGATCATTGAAGAAACTCACGGTGAGCTTCTTGTAATCCAAAGCAAGATAAGAGACTTCATGCTAACTTCAGACGTTAGCGAAGAGGAATTAGAGCAAGACGATGAGGAAGCCTTGCAATATACCCAGAGATATAAGAGGATATATAAAAAATGTCTCGCTCTTGTTGAACCCAGGAGAACTGCATCCAGTCCCACGACCAGTGAAGTGAGCTTCGCTTCTAGCTCACACCATAGAACTGTAAAACTACCCAAGATAGAATTGAAGAAGTTTACAGGAGAAATAAAAGATTGGTTGGGATGGTGGGCACAGTTCAACAAGATACATGTCGATCCTGCTTTAGAAGACAGCGACAAGTTTCAGTATCTTGTGCAATCTATGTCGCCGGGAACCAGAGCTAGTAAACTGGTTGATAGTTACCCCCTGACTGCCGAGAATTACCCCAAAGTTATAGAAACTTTGACAGAAAGATTTGGAAGGCCTGAACTGTTGCAACAAGTCTATGTCAGGGACCTTATCCGCCTTATGATCGATTGCTCCTCCAAGCAACAGTTGAAGGTGACTTCATTTTATGATGAGTTGGTGACTCATTTGAGAGCATTGGAATCCTTAAAGATTGAGGCCAGACAGATGTCTGTATTTATATTTCCAATGATTGAGGCATGTCTCTCAGAGGAACTCATGAAGGCTTGGCAAAGAAGCCCCCTCCATGATGTCAAGATTGATGCTAATGATTCAACTCAAACTAGAGTTGACCTAATTATGGAGTTTCTCCAAAAGGAAGCTGCAGCAGAACAAGACAGAGCCTTAGCTGGATCCAAGTTTGGACTTAGATCTCTGAAACAAGATAGAAACGTGGGCAGACAATCACATCCTGCTAAGATACCTACGGCCTCTGGACTATTTGCTGGACGTGCCCAGAATTGCATCTTTTGTAATAAAGATCATAAAAACACAGAATGTCTTGCTGCGCGCAGAATGAGCATTAAAGAAAGAAGAGAGCGTATTAAAAACGCTAAATGTTGTTTCTCCTGCCTCCAACCAGGTCATATCTCTTCTAATTGTAGAAGGCGCATAACTGAATGTATTCGATGTAAGAAGAAGCACCTTGATATTTTATGCCCTCTTAATGCTCCTGGACGAGAGTCAGCGGATGAAGACAAGGAACAGGTGAAAGACTGTGACGTTTCTCCTACAGTTGAAAACGGAGTTTCATTCTCCGGTCTTAGCGCTTCGTCTCTGATTTTGCTACAGACTCTGAAGATTAAAGTCGAAGGTGCGACTTTGGCGAAAGTAGTGCGTGCCCTCCTTGACACAGGTTCCCAACGATCCTATATTTTGTCTAAAACTGCCCAGGATCTCGGACTATCTCCCATTGGCCAGGAATCACTTAAACATGTGGTGTTTGGAGGTCATACTAGTGAAAGTGTCCACCAAGAATACAGAGTCAATTTGGGTCATGCATCGGGGAATTTTAAGATGGTAGCGAAGCTTCTTGACCAACAAAAAATCTGTGGTAACCTACCAAGATTGAGCCTCGGGCCATGGTTGAAA